AAATTTGATAAAGGCAAAATAAGTTAATAATATATACATAAGTAGTGTTTTTTTGTTTTTTTTATGTAGTCCATTATAAATGTTTATCTTTTTAAAAAAAATCACACCACCATACTCTTTTCATTTATATATAAAATTTTATACAAACTTAATTTTAATTATAATAATCAATTTTATATAGATTCTATTTAAGAAATACTAATTTTTCATATACATATTTATAATTTAATTATTATGATATTTGAAAAAAACTTATCTCGATATACAAATAAATAAATAAGACAGAATGTGCTTAATTATGTACATCGTAGACACTAAATTAATTTTCTTTTATATTTTATATATTTTTTTGTCTATCTTATTTATGTCTTAATATTAATTTATATTTAATTCTTTATTTAACAATAAATTATTTATTGCAAAATATTTATATTTAATTTCAATTTTATATACCTATATACAATATGTATAAATAATTCAAAAAGAATATTAAAGAAAAAAAAATCAATACTCTACATAATTAATTTACATATTTTCTTCTTCATATATTTATATTTAATCTTTTAAATAAGTTTTTTGTAATTCCATATCTACATATTTTTATTATCCAAATAAAATTAAAAATAAATAATTAGAATCACTTTTATTTTTATATTACTAATTCTCTTTCTAATTTAAATATTATTTTTAATATCAAAATGAGTGTTTATTTTATTATCTTATAATAATGTATATCATATAAAATCATTTTATGATAATTACATTTTTATAGCACAATAGAACTAAAATTATCAAAATCAATAAATAATTTAACTAAATTTATTATATATAAGTATTCAAGTAATAATTTTATAAAATGGTAAGGCTAAAATTTTTTTAATTAAAATTAATCAATGTGTTTGGTTTCAATTTTTTGGATTAAATTTTCTCAAAATTAAGTTTTTTTGTTTTCTTGTCCTTTTTTTTTAGTTAATATTTTTAAAATTTTAAGCAATTTTTTTTATTTAAATACACCTTACTTAGATGTATCTAAAAAGTAAAATATTTGTAAAAAAATATTTTAAAAAATTGATAAATACATAAGAATACGAAAATGTATTGAATTTTCATTTTTTTTTGGTTATTTTTGATATTTAGTGAAATTTTTAAATATTTTTTTCCCACAAATATTATACTTTTTAAGTATATTTATGTTAGGTGTATCTAAAAATAAAAAATAAAAAAATTGTTTAAAATATTAAAAACATTCACTGAAAACAAAAAAATACGAAAAACAAAAAATTTCAATTTTCTGAAAGTTGAATCCTGAAAAGTGAAACCAAAAACACATATCATAATATAAAATATCATTATGTTAATTAAAATTAACTCCATTGTGATTTTATAGCAAACCTCATATTTTTAGAAGTGATTCATATACACATAAATTGTCTAATTTGATATTGATTGATTAAAATAAGGGAAATGAATACTTTTGTTGTTAAATTTTTAGAAGATAAATTGACAAATTCCAAATGATAAATAGTGTGGAGTATTATTTTAAAGAATAATGATGCATCGAAAATGATTGTTTATTTTTAAGGCATCCATTGATGTTTCTTAAATAATTTTTAAATAAAAATTTTAAATTTATAGTATTACAAATAATATACCTTCATTGGCTCTGCTAGAAAAAATATGCAAAAATAATTTAGCGAAAATAAATTACAGTTATTATGATGTGTCACATAAGTAATCAGAACCCCTTTGAGAACTAAAATTATTAAGATTGTAGAGATGTTATACCTGATTCTTTTTAAAGACACTATTTATGATTTGAATTTGTAACTTTTTATGCACCAATGTGAATAATTTTTACGATCTTACTGATATAAACATAAACCCTATTTTTGAATCAACACACCTTAAGCTACTTTTTTTTTGTGTAATAAAATATTTAAATATTATCATATAAAAGTATTGTAATAGATTATAATCAAACACCACTTGAAATATAATTAAAGACCTGATGTACCACTTTAGACAATCTATAACGATCCCGGTTTTCTCTCCTTTGGTTGTTGTATTCCGGACTTAGGTTTCGTGATGTTGGTTGTTGTATGTATCTTGTTTCCATCCTTCAATTCCTTATATTTGAGTTTTAGGATGTGTTGGGCAGGTTTGAAATAGGTTGGTTGTGATTGGGAACAAATGGTTGCTGCCCAGATTTTTGTGTCTTCGCTCGAGCGAGACTTTTGTCGCTCAAGCGAGCTCTGTGTTTTAGTTCCTTCGCTCGAGCCAGGGTTCCTTCGCTCGAGCGAGAGTTGAGTGTTGCGTCTGGTGGCTCGAGCGAGAAGTCTTGCGCTCGAGCTTGCGTCTGGGTCTGGTTCTGGACCTGAGAGTTGTATTTCTTGGCTCGAGCGAGCGAGGACTATGTTTTGGGTTTCTTCGCTCAAGCGAGCTTTTCTTCGCTCGAGCGTACTTCTGGGTTGCAGACCTGAAACTTCGAATTGTTGGCTCGAGCGAGACTTTCTACACTCGAGCGAGGTTTCTTTGTGTCTGGTCGCTCGAGCGACTATTCCTTCGCTCGAGCGAGACTCGAATATATCAGTTGCAGCAACTTGTTTCTCCTTCACTTTTTCATTTCTTTTCTTTCTCTCAAACCCTAGAACGGCTGCCTCTCTCTCTAAACCACCACTTCTCTCTACAAGAACTCTTGATCCAGGGTCCTCTTACACTATTTCCTTTGTATAAAAGTTAAAGCTCGGTGTGGGCTTCGTTTTGATCCAAGAATCTTTGAGTTTGGAGCATCTTGAGCTTTGTCCTTCTTCTCCTTTGAGCTCCGAAATTTGAGGTAGGGATAACCTACTCCATTCTATGAGTTTTGACATAAATTTTAGTCATTTTGATTAGATGGTGTTGTTTTGTAATTTTAGGAAAGTTAGGGTTTATATTGAAAATTATACAAAGAAGGGTTTTGTGTTTTAAAGCTTCATGTGCATATAAGGCTTTGGGAATATGAGTTTGTGAGTCAAATTGGTGGAATTTGGTCTTAGGATCAATACTTGAAAAAAAAGGGGAAAATGTCCTAATTAATGTGATAAATTAATTTGCATAATTAATTTGAGGAAAGTATGGAATTATGAAATTGAGTTGGAAATCATGAAATTAGGAAATTATGAGATTGAATGGTGTAGTTGGATAAATTAATCACTCATCTATGAAAATGTTGGTATTTTATATGTTTGATAAATTTATTATCTGTTTAGAGATAACTGCTTTGGGCTATCAGTGGAGGATAGTCTTGATTGTTGTAGACACTATATGTTGATTAGGGAAAATTGAAACTAATCACATTGAATATGTCATTGAATATGACGGTTGGAATAATACATCGAATATGTGTATTGATTGATCATTGTATATGATAAGTGGTTAAATACATTGTATATGTATGTTGTGTGGGAGGAGATAAGGGATGTACTCCATGGTTTGGGAGGAGATAAGGGATGGACTCTCAAACCTGTTTGGGAGGAGATAGGGGATGGACTCCATTGATAATTGAAGTATTGGAAGTGTTTTAGGGTTGGTTTGGGATGTTCTAAAAAAGTGTACTTTTTGACTTATTAGCTTATATGGGTTGGGTTTGGGTTAGATTTGATGTGATGTGTTAGAGAGGTAATGTGATTTAAATAAGATGATGTGACTTAAATAGGATAGTAACTTTTTGATTTTTTGTATTATTTAGTTTATGCCAAACCAACCCTTAATATGAGTTGTAGGCTCATCTAAATTGTTGGCTAGATAATGAGCCATGTTTATTTATTTGAATTGGAAGTAAAGGAAATTGTAATGAAACATGAACGTATTTGTTATGGAATTGGAAGGTTGTAAGTTGGTTTACAAGTGTTAATCATCTATCGAATGCTAATGTTTTAGTTATTTCTCATAATTGGTTTAGTACATCTCTACTAGGCTTTAGCTTACCCTATATGAGACATTATTTTCAGGTTTAGGTGATATGCCACCCCTAAGGACGTAACTTGGGAGGCTTTGAGGCTGATAGCTCTTTTGGTTGTTTCCTTTTGGTATTACATGTAAATTCAAGCTAAGGGCTTTATGTGTATTTGAGTTAGTACTCTCTTTTTGTAACTAAGTCTTGGCTTGAAAAGTTGTAAGCCCGTAGAGCATTTACTTTTGTTGTCAACATGTTATACTTTTGTACTTAATACTCTGATTAATGGAATTATGCTTTATTCTTTTATGTCTATGCATGTCAAGGATGTGGAATTTTATGTATTATTTTGAGGGCGTTACACAATAAAAAATATAATAAATTAGTAGAGACCTTTTCGATTATTAACCAAAACAATACACCATGAGCTATAATCAAGTCATAATTTGTATATTACATAATTTTTTGTTATTTTTATTTTTTTAGGACCAAAAATTATTTTGATATAAGTAGAATTCATGATTTTTGATAAATTTAATTAACACAAATGGATATTTGATTTCAAGCTAAGAATATATTTTTTTCCAACTTTGAAAGAAATTATTTTTAGGGGTCTTTTACATAGAATCACGCACACAGTGACAAAAATTTTCATCAGCCATTAGCAAATTTATTTGTATTTAATTTTCAATTGTTAAAATTTCCTATACATAAAGTGATAAGACTTAAAATTAATTTTTTATTTTAAAAATAAATTTCCGTACGTTGCACATGTCACCAACTAATTTAGCTAATAAGATAAAATATTACATTCAAATTATAATTATTTTATTTTTTATCTCACAATTATCAAATCAATTATAGAAAACCAAAATTTATATTAAACATAACTTTTTTTAGTTAAATTAAAATAATAATAAAAAAACCTAAAAAATCAGACTGTCATCCCAAACGAACTTCCATCATTGAATGGTGTTTTAAGAGTGAACTTTTAACCATTATAGCCAATCAGAATATATAATTTGAAAAAAAATAAAAATAAATAATGGTTGGTAAGCAATGAGCATGGGACCCTACCTTGGGCTGGGTTTTGGGTTCTTTCATTGGGCCAATGTGTCCAACATCTGAGCACAGCGTTTCGCCGACACTCTCTTCCACGAGTCCTCTCCTCCGTCGGACAACTAAAGCAAAGTTCTTCCCCAAACCAAACTCTGATTAAAGTTCTCTCTCTCTCTCTCTCTCTCTCTCTCTCTCTCGTTCGAGCTGAAGAAATCTCCTCACCGAGTAGATGAAATTGTTGTGAGATTTACACAATTCAAGTTTCTGTTCAGAGTGTTTGATTATCTATGAAGATCGTTCGTAGAGACTATATCCCCGACGGCCCTGGTAGCGTCAAGGTAACGCTCTTTTCTTTCTCTCTCTAATTAACCTAATTTTTTTTTAGTTTTTTAGGTTTTCTGGGATTCGATTGTTTTGTATTTAGTATATTGTAATTCGATTGAATTGGTATTGGTATTGGTATTTGCTGGGATTCAGATGGTTCCAGAGGAGGCAGATGACTTATGGCTTGCTTATAATCTCATAGCTACCGGCGACACTGTCCTAGCCGTTACCGTTAGGTATCTCTCCGCTCTCTTGATTGTGTTTATATGCTTCGTTTACTGTCTATGTTTGTTTTTTTGTTTTGTTTTGTTTTGTTTTTTGTTTTTGTTTTTTTTTTTTCCCTGAAAATTTGAGTTGCAAGTGAGAAATAATTTAGGAAAAGAACAGTTTTTTATGCTTTTAAGACTAAACTATACTAGAAAATTTAATGATTTGGGGAAGGAGAAGACAAGAACCTGTACTCAACCATCTCTCCGTTGTGTTTGAAGGCTCGGTTTTTCGTGATTCTGTATAGTTGGGTGACAAGGATTGTGTCCCCGGATTTGTTTGCGGTTGTGGATTTTATGTATGCACTGTGTTTAGATGACTTCTTGTTGTTGTTGTTGTTGTTGTTTTTTTTCCCCCCTCAGATGTATTCTTTAGTATCAGTTTGATGCTCTTTAGCTAATAGTGTCTTTATTTATCCAAAAAAAAACCTGTACGCAACCGTACCTTTGATGCGTATGCATATGGTTTTGTGAAGGCAAGGATTTCATGTTTTGGAGAAAGCAAACTAGATCAGGGATAAGTATAAGATGGGGGTACTTTCTATTTTCTCTCTAGCCAACAGATGTGCATTGAAAAATTCTGTTGGTTTGCATTGTGATTAGTGTTTTAGTTTATTTTTTGGGTGGGGATTGGAAACAAAGACCTTATATGGTGATTATTTGTTTAGATAAGGTATATGATAGGTTTTCTAGATAGATAATATGAGCTCCTAGATAGATATAATGTGGATAGTTTTGGAAAATAAAGGAGTGTTAATTAGATATGATGATGCAATTAAAGATATGTATAATTGAGTTGTGACGGTTGTTTATACAGTATGAGGAGAAACCTGTGAATTTTTAATAAAAATAGGTTTACATCAAGGATCAATACTAATTCCTTGCCTTTTTGCATTAGCTATAAATGAATCTATTCGGAACATTCAAGAGGATATCATAATATTTATAATTTTATAAACTGTATTGTTTTAGTTGATGACATAATAGGAGTAAATTTTGACCTAGAATTGTGGAGAGAGAATTTATAATCTAAAGGATTTAAGTTAAGCTGGATTAAGACAGATTTTTAGTAAAACTATAGAAATAGGAATGATTATGTTGCTGTTGCGTGTATCAAACAGCTGTCGTAGACATGACACTCTAGCAGGTGTGCTTGTGCTTTCTAGGTTATATGTTATTGTTGCATGTGGACATTTGAGTTGCTTGCAAGGATGTTATGTTGAACTATTTTCTTTATCAAGAATATTGGGATTAATTATGTCTGTTTTCCTTCAAAGATTTTTGTACCCTCTCTTTTGGTCATACAGGCTGCTGAAATCCTGATGTTTTGCATGCTTATTACTCTATGAAGGGAAAATTTAATTGTTAAACAAAACTAGTTCTGATACAAACAGTTCTCATGATCAATGTATACAATTTGTTTTAGGAAAGTTTTAAGACAAGCGGCCTCTGGAGGGAGAGATGCGGAACGTGTGAAGCTAAAATTGGAGATCAAAGTTGAGGTAAGATAATGTTAAGACCGTTCACAGTTGTCCCATAGATGTCTGAGAGAATAAAGTTTTTGTTTTGGTTAGTAAAATAATTTTATCTAAGTATACTAGTATAGATTGTTTCAATTAGAATAGAGGTGATGAGAGAAGAGATCACCGCAGCTTGTCAAAAATAGTTGGGTTGTTTGAGATGACTTGGAAGTCACATGTAATTTGTGCTTTCTTTTGCAACCTGCGTCTGTTATGGGTTGACCAACTTCCATCCAAGTCCTTAGCTGAGTCAAATTGGCCTTTGCTGAGTTTTGTACGATGATATGTGTTTCAAATGACATGAAATGAGTGTATGAGCTGCACAACCTTGCATAGGTTGACATGCATGAGCCTGGGTTTTTTTTGAAGAGGATGAAAGACGTGTCAGACCATCATAGAATTATGGATGGGGTGTGCCTTGTCCTCCTTTTCCTCTTTGTACTTTTTTTTTTAATGATATTATTCCTTCATTGTTAATAAAAAAGGAGGTTTAATGATATTATTCCTTCATTGTTAATAAAAAAGGAGGGGGGGGGGGGGGGGGAAGGGGGGGGGGGGGAAGAAATAGAAAAGTTGTGTTTCATCAAGTATAATTTACCAACCGAAAGTATGCACTATCTTCTTATAAGTTATACATACGACGTATAGATTTTGATAGGACAGTTATAGATAATTTTAAACCAAAAGATAATGGTTTTGGAAGGATTCATAAGCTTATATGTATGCATATGCTTGTAGCTTGATATTGAAACAGCGTTTTTATACAGAATTCAGACCTTTTTAACTAAGACATTAAGATTAAACAATGTGTCCTCATTTGTGAATTTTTTAATAGGCTGTGGATTATGACAAAGAAGGGTCTGTCTTGCGTATACGTGGAAGGAATATCCTAGAGAACGAACATGTAAAGGTAGGTGTGACTCAAATCAAGTCCATTTATATGCTGATTGGTTTATATTGCTGCAGTAAACCTACTATATCTTGTTGCAGATAGGGGCATTCCATACGCTTGAAATTGAGTTGCATCGACCTTTTGTTTTAAGAAAGGTATGCTTCTCTTGTTAGTTCTATTGGATCTCCAACTACTTACATTTAATCCATTCTCTAGCCACTTCATGCACGCTGGAAATAGGGTAAAAACATTGTAATATGATACATCTCCACTTAATTAGGATTTTGTTTTTTTTTTTTTTTGGTGAAAAGCAGTGCCTGATTTTGGTTTTATGCTATGTCTTAATTGAAAGGAAAGCCTTGTAAATGACATTAACCCGTGGATGGTTTGCATATTTGCTCCTTTGTTTTCAGCACAAGATAATTTTTTTTTAAACACATGCATATAACTAGAAGTTGGTGCACATTTGATAAGCGTGTTCATGCCTCGTGTGGAGGGAGAGAGAGAGGGAGAGAGAGAGATGACTCAACTGATTCTATTTGCCTGTTTGGTAGTTAGTAGTTACTGTTTTTAAAATTTAAATAGTGAGAATAATTTAGATATTTTGTGGACCAGGTCAAAGACCAAAGATGGTTGTGGCTTAATATGTTAGCAGTTTTAGATTTAACAGCGATACAGGTCTCTTTGTGAACAACAGTTAAACCTTGGAGTTTGACTCAAATTTATGGTTTAATATCAGAGATTGGCAGAATATATTGGCATAGTTGGTGGAGTTACTGCTACACATAAAAATAGGGTCTTGTAAACTTGATGTTGGTTCTTATGGGGTCCTTTCAGCAGGGTACTTTTATTTTGTTTTTTCCTTTTTGGGGACACCTTTCTCTTTGGACCTAGCCCACCCCAGCTGCAAGGGGGTGGGTGGGTAGTAGGAGGGTAATGTGTACGGATGTGTAAATTGACACAGCTATAAAAATGCCTGGCTCTCTTTATATTTCAAGTGGTTAGCATCAATGAATTGTCCTTTTTAAAGCAATTAGTTATCTCAAATTGCCGTAAAGCTATGTCATCTTAGTTTGTTTCCATCCCCGTTTCCTCTTTTTAGGCACAAAAGAGAATATGTTAATATGTTCTGGTTAAGTAAGTATTACATTTTTTTTCCTAGCTTCTTTGGGTCATTGAAAGACTTCAAAATTGGAGGCATATACTATTGCTAGGTATTTTGGAGTTCTTTTTTCCACATTTCCTTTTGTAATTATCAAAGGTTTCGAAGTTTCATGACATAACTAACCTATTATTGGTCTAGAAGTGGTATTGGGTGAGTCGTGAGCCTATAGAAACCCTGGTTGAGAGAGGTTAGGAGATCAAAGTTTGAGTTATGAGATTCAGAGGTTTAGGTTTATTTATTTATATTTTTATAAGCAAAAAACAAGAAATATTTTTAAGATAAGAAAAATAAAGTACAATATAGGACAAATATCCTCCAAAAGAAACAAAGGAATTCTTTTAAAAGGTGCTGAAGCAGCCCTCCAATCACTACTGAGAGGGTGATTTATGATCCGGTGTTGGGCCGAGGTATAGACCGAGCAAGTTGAGGGCCCAGCAGAGCATTGGGCCGAGATGATCGACTGTTCACCCGGAGATGGGCTACCAGAACTTGGGCCGGGCAGAGTTTGGACTGAGTGTGTGCTGCCCCGGACCGTGCAGAAGCTGCTCGGCCAGGAAGTGACCGGTCAGACCAGGATGCTCGGTCCGAGGATGGTCGAAACCAGACAGACCGAGAGACCGGCGCTCGGAAAGGCGCGGTCAGCCGAGGTAGTTGATTGACCGGCGAGAAGGCCGACCAAAGGAGGAGCTCGGGCTAGGCTTTGCCGAGATGCCGCCTAGCCCGGTCCTTCATTTCTTTATCCGGTTAGGCGCTAAGGTATGAAGCATGGTACGACCGAGGTAGGGCAGCTCGGCTGCCGAGCTCCGGCTGTGCTGACAGGCAGTTGAGAGCAGGTGATGAATGGCATGGTTTATGCTGACAGATGGGATAGCAGAGCCACGTGTCAGGAGATGACAGGGAGTGGATATGGGGCTCAGAAGGTATATAAGCATGTCTGCGCCCCCCATACGGACACACGAACACATCTGTAAGGATTTCTTACACTCAAACGCTCTCTCCCTTCTCTATTCCCTCTAAGGTGTGTGCTAACTTGACCGTCGGAGGGTTTTTCCGGCCACACACCGCCGGGTAGCTCACCATTACTTGCTCGCAGGTGATCGGACATCGACGGAGCTCGGAAGAAAGGAATACGGGCACGCCGGAATATTTGCTCCCCGTACAACTACTAATAAGAAACAAAGGAATTCTTTTAAAAGGTGCCAAAACCAATACCCAAAGGAAGTCAAATCGCATATCCTATCCCATAAATTACCTCCTCATTTATCTTCAATTATTCTTGCATTTCTCTTGAACCATAACACTCATTAAACTACACAAATTGCACAATTCCAAAGGACCCGTGACTTCTTATTTGAGCCAAAGCTACTAAAATCAATAGTAAATAACTGATCAATGGTAAATAGAGTTGCCCAATAAACTTCTTCCAACTGAAATAGCCTCAACCATCACCCTAAGGCCACCAGACGATGCAAAATAAGATGGCCTATTTATAAAAATAAAATAAAAAATAAGATGGCCTATACTCTTTTCACCCCTCCTGTGCATATAACACCAAAGCCAATGGTGTTACATGTGTAGGAAGGAGTCAATCGGTTATCTCCTATTACATTGTCAGCTGGTTAGAGATTTGCGAAGCATGTTATTTTCTATTTTCAAAGTGACTTGGTGACATCAGCTATTGTTGTCCTATTTTATGAGTCATAGGGTTAAGGGTGCCATTCTAAGAGTGTGAGGAAGGGGTATGGATGGTGGCACCTTGATGTCTTTTGTGCAGAGGAGGTGAGGAACTTTTGAAAATATAGAGATGGTGATTCACAGGATTAAGATGTCTTTATTTTATTCTTTTCAGTTTTGGGTCAAAGGAATTTTTTGTGGTGGTTAGTTTTCATGATTGATTTTATAGGAGAGTTGAAATTTGTTGGGATCATATCATTTTTTAGCTTTGTATACTGCTAGTGTATAGAGGTTGCGTCCTTTTGTCGTTTTCAATGGATATAGCTTACTTAAAAGGATAATTTTACATATACATACGTTGCCATGTTGACATATCTGTAACCCATTTTTCTGTACCATATATGTTGCCATGTTTTGACTCATACATGTGATGTGTAATCATTTTTAGAGAGAGTTCTTGTTTCCACACCCACACCCCCCCCCCCCCCCCCCCCGTTTATAACATCTTGCCTTAGCAACATAAAGTCATGCTGATGATTGGAATTTTCTTTTCTTTTCTTTTTTTTTTTGAATAGGGTATATATTATTGCTGACACAACTTCTTTGTCAAAATCTTCTAGGAGGTTTGGGATTTGCTGGCATTAGATGTACTCCGTCAAGCCTCTGGTATACTGTTTTAACTTCATAAATTTCTCTGGGTTTGATACTTAAGACCATAAAATTGGTTCTCTTTGTTCGTGTTCATTATATAAGTTTTCCTCAGTCTTCTGTACTTTTTGAAGTTTGGCCTTTACATGTCCTTTGGGCTGTTCCACAGTATATTCACCTGGTGAGACTTGAAGATGGTTTTAATGGTCTAAGAGATGGTGTGTACCCCATGTAGGACTAAGTGGCAGGAAAGGCCGGCGTGCTTCTAAATGACTTAAATGCAATAAATTGAATAATATATCATTGAAAACTGAAATGGTGGTTGACATTATACACAGTTTTGTATTGAGTGTGCTGGGTAGATAGTTTTGAAATGTTCAATTCAAAACCCCCTCCCCACCCCCCACCTCCCCCGGGTGCCATTTTGTTTGATGTGGTTGGTATGGTTGGAGCGTAATAGGTGAACGTTTCAAGAAGTTTAGCATAGTGTTTCTTGGCTTGGGAGTCGTTTTCTAATAGTTTTGTATAGTTGGTTAGAGAGGATGGTTGATCCGGATATGTTTGCTTTTTTAAATTTTTTTGGATGGAGTTATTGGTTAGGAGTTGATTGTTCTTCGATTTGGGTTTTTGTATTCTTTGCATCACCTTGATGTTTTTTTAATAAAGTTGGTTTATTTATTTATCAAAAAAAAATATTTATATTTAACTCTTAGCTTAAAATGTATGGTCGGTCAAAGACTTTAAAAGTTTATTAGAAAGAAAAATATATGTAACACCTTGCTTAAAATCTGTGGTAGGTCAAAGACCTAAATACTCATATATCATCCTTTATGTTGTTTATTGGATATATGATTATGAGTTCTCACAGGTAATGGGTATCCTTCTAGAAATTACCACCTGAGAAGTTATGATGTTTGAAGCAATAAAAATTGCTAGGTATTTAGTACTTAAAACCAAATGTTTTGCAGGCTTCCTGTGGTATCAATATTCTGCTTATTTGATTTCCTTTGCATAGATTTCTAGTTTTGGGTGTCTGTATCATACACGCCCAACTACATTACCAAAGCGCTACTATGGCAATAACACACATAGAGTTATAGACAAGTCCATGCACATCTCACTTTAGTCTTTTTAGTGTCTGTGTTGTCTAATGGCATTTGGCAAGCACCTGCCCACTGAGATCTGTTTCCAGTAGTAGTTGTTTGGCAAGGAAGGGTGGCACCTAGGCAGCTGCATAGGCAATCCTTCACTACAGCAATGCTAAAAAAATCATGTTCCTGTTTGTGTAACAAAGGTTACAGATTTAACTTCCATAATCTTGACTTTGTCTCTTTTTTCTTGATTTTAGACCCTTCTGCAAGTGCTGATCTGGCTGTGGTCTTAATGCAAGAGGGATTGGCACATTTATTCCTTATTGGTAAAAGGTAGCATAATTGAGTATGAAAGTGTTGACTTTCTTAAACATATGTCATTAAGTCTGAAAGTGTAACTTTCTTAAACTGTTGCGCTTAATGTTTCGACAGTGTTACAATTACTCGTTCTCGAATAGAAGCTTCAATTCCTCGCAAGCATGGGCCTGCTATTGCTGGTTACGATAAAGTATGTTCTTTGCTTTCTCAAGATTCAATCGAACTGTCTCAAAATTTCCATCAGTGGACATGGGTTGTGGTTTCTCCAGGCATTTACTAATTTTAATTTTCACTATTATTTTTTTGTCTTTACAGGCTTTGAATAAGTTCTTTGACAATGTTTTAACGGTGAGGACATTTATCCTAATTTTGTAATTCATTTCCTGCCATATTTGAGTTTCGGAATAAGTGTTGCCGAATGCAATGGCTAACATGTCTGTTAATATGTTGTAGGCTTTCCTGAAACACATTGACTTCAACGTTGTTCGTTGTGCTGTGATCGCAAGTCCAGGTTTCACAAGGGTCTGTAATAAATCTGTTTCGTTTCATTTTTGCAATTGTTTTATTTATTTAACAAATAACTGAGTTGTAGACTGAACTTAAAGGACTTGTTACTATTATTCTAACAATTTTCTGCCTGACATGAAGTTTGGAAATGGATGGAGGCTTAGCATATCCAGGATATGAACATTTTATAGGGGTCATTTTTTGAAATTTGAGAACTGTTTTCATTTGTGGTTCAGGATCAGTTTCATCGTCACTTATTGTTGGAGGCCGAGAGGAAACAGCTGAGACCTATTATTGAGAACAAGTCACGCATAATTCTTGTGCATACAACCTCGGGATACAAGTATGATACATCTCTCTCTCTCTCTCTCTCTCTCTCTCTCGTGTTCACAAGACCTATGTTACTTGGAACATGGATTGTTCCGGTACGTGGAATGTGAACGTGATACGCCACATGCTCTAAAATGTGGAACGATAGGGGTAGACTTATATATATTGCACTTTAGAATTTGAGGTATTTTTAGAGTAATTTTCTTTTAACTATTAGGCATCTAATAAAATGTATTGTTACTTTTTCTCGTTTTTTATGTTTTTGTCTTGTCAAAACATAACTTTAGATTTTAATTCATTATATTTGATTTTTTTCCTCCTAAGGTAACATTTAAGGAAATATATTGACAAAAAAATTTGGGATCGTTTCGGATCACTAAATTTACCGTTTTGGAATGAAAGTGTACCATGTTTCAGAACGTTCGTATCAATATGTAATTTGCTAGGGGATTAGCATTTTCTGGTAACACAGCACAAGAGTTAGTTAAACAGAAAATTTGTATTGTGAACGTAACTGATTCAATTTTATCACATATTTGAAATAATATGAATCTGAAGAAGGTTCTCTTTCTTCTTGGTTCTCTGTGTGTTGACAAATATCTGTATGTTTGGAGTTGGAGTGCGCCATAAACTCTGTGTGCGCGTGTGCATGCACGTGTGCACGCGTGTAAGAATCCCTGAATAAGAGCAATGCTGTTTCTGAACTGATATTGGATACATTAATCTTCGGGCAATGAAGTTAACATATAGGAATCTCTTGTCATATTTAGATCTACACATCTTTTGGCCACTTTGTCTTGTGGATCACTCTCTACCATGTTAAAGCAATCACTCATTTTAGGTGAAATAATTGATCTTCATTGATGCCTCCAAAGTTCTAACATGGTATCAAAGCTAGGTCTTAGTGGTCTCTTGGGCCAAATCTTCACCTTTTTTCTGTTTTTCGTCTCTCTATCACTCACTTCCATGTGTGACTGAGCCGTACATGCAAGGAAGTATTATAGGCTTGCCCCACATCACTTCTCTAAACCACCCAAGCTTTGTTAATATAGTCTAGAGGTTTCTCCACCTATTGCCAATTGGTTTTGGGTTGGATGCCTCTAAAGTTCTAACACATGTATTACTCGCAGTTGTTGTTGATATCTTACTATTCTACAAAGTTTGTACAAGAGAAATCATTACATCATCTGAATATCAAACATTTCTTTTACAGGCATAGCTTGAGAGAGGTTTTGGATGCTCCAAATGTCATGAATATTATAAAAGATACAAAAGCAGCAGAAGAGGTAGCTTTGCAGGCTCACTTTGGTCAATATTTTTATTCTGATATTTTTTATTTTGTTTGAGAATTGAGAGTTCTTCTCATCCTCTCCCTTCTTAGCTTTTGTTGTTTATCCAGAGATGCTTATTAATATTGGTCGATATTTTTTCCTTCCAATTTATTCAGGTTCGAGCTCTTAAGGAGTTTTTCAACATGCTTTCTAATGTCAGGTTCTACCCTTGATATCTATGTTCCATTTTCCTTATATTTGTTTGCAACTGTGATGCCAATTCAAAAATGCATGAACAATGATACTTATGTCAAAACAATTCAGGCATGTCTGATTGTTTTTCATTTATGAGGTAAATTCATGAAATTGACATCCGTTTAAGTAACAAATATTTGGTTCAAGATTAGATAGTTTTGATTTGTGATGTCATTGTCATTGAGATGATGTCATTGCTATATTGATTCAGAAGAAGGTAATGAGTTGGTGCAACATTTTGATGAGTGGTCATGGAGATGGCTTGTCAATTAACTATGGTCATTATTAGTCTCACTAGGAATTAACTATTGCAAACATGCTACTTTACTTACAAATGAACTTCTATCTATCCAGGATGATAGTTTGTCCAAACCCTTCTTGTCACTGATGAACTCTTCAGGTTAGTAACATTAGCACACTTCCGCTTTGGACTTCAAAATACACACCGATTGGAGGCAGATTCTTGGAAATATGGGATATTTTACACATCTATTTGATGAAGCTTTCACCTTCACATTTGGTAATGTTGCACGTTTTTTGTAACATGTTTGGTGCATGTGTTTTTAATATAAAAAAATTAAATAAAAAAACGTGTTTGGTGAGTTCTCAGGGGAGGCAGGATTTATAAGGGGATGTGGAGGGGTAGGAGTGGGGGTGGGACGCTTCTAGAAGAGGGGTAGTGGTTGGTTGGTGGTTTGGAAGGGTTTGCTGCACTAGGAGGGGAGTTGCCAGAGGAGGGTGGAGGGGTTTAAAAACTTTTTTTCAAAACAAGTGAACTTTTTTTTTTGTTTTTCATTTTTTTTTTTTTGGGAAACTATTGCAATTTTTTGGCAACAAAAACAGTTTACCAAACATGTTTCCATTTCCAATATTCAATTTTTTTGAAAACAAAAACAGAAAATAAAACAATAGCAAACAGGCCGAGTGTTTTTTCTTCACTACCTATTTTAGTTAATCAAGTATTTCTTTCAACTTTGGCATGCACTATTCTAAAACATGTATTTGGCTGAAGTTTGTTAGTTATCATTTTTATTTTCTTAGTTTCATCGATTTGTTATTGCCATTTTGGATCTCAGGAGTTGCGACATAGCGACAAGGCAAAAATATGTTAATTTGGTCAAATCAGTCAAGGATTCGGGGGGCACTGCTCTCATATTCTCGTCCATGCATGTCTCTGGAGAACGTAAGTACAGTTTCTTCATTATATATTCCTTGGTGTCAATTGTTTTATAACTTGATTTTTGCATCATTATGATGGTTGTCTTGGCCATTGATAACTTGTGCCAGAATAGATGGAGAACACTAAATCAAATTCTTCCTGTATAACCGGAAATAGGGTCTTTTTAAGTTTGGAAAATATTTTTATTTTCGAACAAAAATATAGTTGAATAACATTGAAAAGGTATTTCTATGATAGAGGATGTATTAAAAATTGTAGTTCTGTTTTTCTTTTTTGCATTTTACCAAGCTCAGTTTAGATTGTCTAAAGTTATTATATGGGATCACAGAACTGGCGCAGCTGACCGGTATTGCAGCAATCCTCCGATTTCCTTTACCGGACTTGGAAGACATTGAGATGTGATAAAAGATTTTGGGGGTATGGAGCTAATTACTCATTTTTGCTCCATCATGTTTGTATATCTTAGTATTTTTTTTTTTTTTTTTTATATTTAAAACAAAATTATGTAAGTGACGTATTTTTTCTAAATCTGGCAGCTTGTGGATGAGTATTACAGGGCTAGTTAACATATTATTTATTTGTTTATTTTTATTATTATAATTGTTATTTTTTTTGACGCTGAAAATTCCAACCGTAGCATCAAAGCCCTAGCCACCGGTGAACTCTGTTGATTTAGTTAACAGTTTTATCTAATAGAATCTGTGTAAACTATTATCATTCCTGATTTAAATTATTTTAGTGAGCTCCTGTCTTTAATAATTTTCAGGCAAGTTATATTATTTCATGTCATTTTATAATGGGAGTGATCATCAGTATGCTCTGGAAAAGTTAGGATATTCCCACCATCACCGGTGCACCTAGCATTGGTAGGGCCGTGGGCATTTTACACACTGGTTCTATGATTTGTTAGAGAGTGGAAAATTATATTGAGAATTTTTTAATCCTTTGCTTGGTTGGATAAATAAAATTGACAAATCTTTTTTAGTTCTTTGCTTCCTTCAAGAAATACCAAATCCAAACGTAGCATTAAAATTATTAGTAGATCATCTTGTCAAAGTTATACTATCTACCCATAGTGAAATCAAAATTTGAAGCCTTTTAACTGTCAAATATGTATTTTTTCCCCCTTCCATTTCAAAAAAATTAGGATGTCACCCGTGTTATACAAGGGACAAAATAATATATTATTTAATAAAAATATGATAATTATATTTAATTTTTTTATATTTTGTAAAATAAAAATTAAATGAAAGTTAGTCAATTGAAATTTTTTTAATTGTTTAAAATTAAAAAAAATATATAAAAAATTAGAATGAGATATTGATCATAAGGTTTTTAATTAAAAATCTCATTTGCTTATATGAATGGAAATATAAGATTTATTTTATGTAGGTGAAACAATTCACTTTTTCTTTTTTTTCTCGATGCGAGATTATAAAATAAAAGTTAAATGAAAGTTAGTTGTCGATGAGGATTTTCTTAATTGTTTAAAAGTTAACAATTGTTTGGGTAAGAAATTTATTTCGAATCAAGCAATCTTAACCGTTTAATCTTTAATTAAGTCAATCTTTAATTTATTTCAAATCAAACAAATTTAACTAATATATTTTCGCTAAAATCGCAGTTGAACCAGCGAACCAGTCAAAACTAAAACGGTTCACCCTATCGACTAAGTCAAATGACCGCCCAACCTATACAAAAATTAATTAATTAAAACTTTTAAATTTTATTTTAATTTTAAAATTTAAATTGTCTTGAACTGAAACGTACACAACACTACAATATTAAATGGGAGCATAAGGCTTATATAGTAAAACAACTCATTTTTTCCTCATTTACATGATGTGGGATTGTATAATAAAAATTAACAGTTATTTGAACGGGAAGTTCATTTCTAATCAAGCAATCTCAGTCGTTCAATTTTTAATAAAGTTAATTTTAGTTTATTTCAAATTAAACAAATCTAAACAATATATTTTGATAAAACAACTAAAATTGTGGCCTCGTTTGGAAACATGCTAATTTAGTAACTTTTTGACTATTTGGCTAAAATATGAACTAAAAAAAACTAGTATGTTTGGGATGATTTTTTGGCTTTTTACGAAAAGATGTGCAAAAAGTAGAGAGAAAAGAGAATTTTTTACTTTTTGGTATGAGTTGTTAGCTTTTTGGCTAATTTAGTAACTTTTTGACTTTTTGGCTAAAAAAGATGGTTCCCAAGTCAAACTGAAAACGGTTTAGCATAATCGGTTAAGTCAAAATACCAACCAATTTACAATAAAATTAATTAATTAAAACCTTTAAATTTTATTTTAAAATTTAAACCATCTTGAACTGAAACATGCACAATACTATAATAGTAAATAAGAGTATAAGATTCACTTTATATAAGTAAAACAACTCACTTTTTATTTATTTTCTCAATGCGGGATTATAATTATTTTAAAGTTAAATATTATAAGAGTTTCAAAATCTCATACAAAATTATTTTTAAAATCAGAACCTCTATGTGAGATTGTAAAATAAAAGTTAAATGAAAGCTAACCAATGGAGATTTTCTTAATTGTTTAAAATTCAAAAAATTCAAAAAAAAAATTGGTATTGATTATAGGGCATCTCAACAAAAAATTTCTTTTGCATATATAAATGGGAGCGTAAGATTTACTTTTTATACAAGTGAAACAATTTACTTTTTCCTTCTTTTCTCGATGTGGGATTGTAAAATAAAAGTTAAATGAAAGCTAACCAATGGAGATTTTCTCAATTGTTTAAAATTAAGAAATTTCAATAATTTATATAAATTGAAGCATAAGATTTACTTTATATAAATGAAACAATTCATTTTTTCTTTCTTTTTTTTCCCAATGTAGGATAGTAAAATAAAAGGTAAATGAAAGTTAGCCAATGAGAATTTTCTTAATTGTTTAAAATTAAGAAAATTCAATAATTTTATAATGAGGGTTTGGAGCTTGTAAAAGATTTCTCCCTTCAAATTTTCTTTATAAGATTCATTTATATAAGTGAAACAATTCACTTTTTATTTTTTTTTTCCTAATGTGAGATTGTAACATTTTATATAAATGAAACAACTCACTTTTTCTTTCTTTTCTTGATGTGAAATTATAATTATTTTAAAGTAAAATATTATGAGAGTTTTAAAATCTCATACAAAATTATTTCAAAAATAAAAACTATGTGAAATTGTAAGACATAAACTCTCACAAAACTCATCACTAAATGGGATGGAAGTATAAGATTCACTTTATATGAGTAAAACAATTTTTTTTCCTTCTTTTTCGACGTGGGATTATCAAATAAAAGTTAGTCAATGGAGTCAAGAAAATTAATATGAGATATTGAAACTCTTCTAAGACTTCTCGCTAAAACCACCACTTTTTTTATATAATATATAGATTAGATCTTCTTCAATTCAGGATATTTGAAAACATATAAAGATCAACACAAAATTGTGATTTTTATGCTAGTGATTTCAGCGCATTCCATATTACTTTTGAAAAATGAAAACCAACTACTATTCTATGATTTTTATTATAGAAAGAGAACTTGGATTCAAGTAAGTTTGTCTACTTTATTTATTTTAATATAATTAGAAGAACATCAAACACATAGGTAATTCTGGTAGACAATCCTGTTAGGCCATCTCCAACGGTTCATTAAACCTGGTATCAAATTCAAAATTTAATGAAAAAGCTACTTTTTTGAGCTCCAACGGTTTCACCAAATCGATATCAAATCCAGAATTCAGCAAATCTTTTACCAAAATGAGAACAGGCGAAGCATTTTACCAAATCATTGTTCCTAACCGTTGGGAGAGACCAACCGGTCAACCAGCCGGTTGCCCGGCCGGTTGACCAACCGGTCGACCGCTTAAAGGTTCAAACGGTTCGAAGAAAATGTTCAAATAGTAAAAAAAAAAAATTTTGCCTTACCGGTCGACCACTTAAAGGTTCAAAAAGTTCAAAAAAAAAAAAAAATCGCTTAACCGGTCAACCAACCGGTTGTCCCCGGCACAAATTTGATGAAAGTGCACCGTTGGAGCGAGTGGTATCAAATTTGGTAAAATTGGTCATTTTTTACTCAAATTTAGTGAAAAATCTGATTCACCGTTGGAGATGCTCTTAAACATCATGCACAGTTGTTTTGGCAGCTTTTATTTGCACACTACACTTTGTTTTAGTTTACGATATTTTTATCGTTCATATATCAATTTTTGAATAAAAATAATTATTAAAATATTAATTTTTGAATAAAAATTAATTATTTGGATATTAATCATAGAGCATGGTTTCATTTGGAAGTTGAAATCCTAGCACTAAAATTGCGTGAATTGAGAATTTTTGTTGAGAAATTGAAACTTTTACAACTCTTCACTAAATGGAGATGAGAGTATAAGATTCCCTTTATATGAGCACAACAACTCATTTTTTTCATTCTTTTTCCTATGTGAGATTATGAAATAGAAGTTAACCAATAGAAATTTTTTTAATTATTTAAATTTATTTTTTAATCAAAAAATTAAGAAATTAAAATTGAAATAATAGAGATTTGTAGATTAAAAAGACCCTTCACCTTATTTTTTTTTTTATTCATAATTTTGCTATCCATATATTTATGTTCAAGTAAATTTTATATTTAAATATTTTTAGTGTCTAAATCCCTAACATCTCCTACCTAACTTGTACTACGTTTTTCCACACTCATTTTTGGATGCCTTTCTTGTTCACATTACACAATGGGAATAAACTCAAATCAGCCGTAGATGTCAAGTATTCGAAATTGTGATGCTTAAAAAAGTTATAAAGTCATTAAATAAATAAAAAAATTACAAAAAAGCAAATCATACATGTAAGTAGGACAGTATTACTATTAAGGTGGGTTTTCAAAAATTAGTACATATTAGTGAAAAAATTTATGATTTTAATTATTAATATTTATAATGTTTATCATGTTTTTGTTAATATTTTTTTTGATTACCATTGACTAGTAATTCTCCCTATAAGTTATTCATATTTTTCATACAATTAAAAAACTATTTCTAAATATATAAAATTTTGAATAAATTATATTGATTTTTCTTGAGATTTAGAATAGATACAACAAATCTCGCAATTTTGTCATAATAACATAATAATATTGAGTTTTCTTGACATTCAAATTTATATAATATTTATTGCCTTTTCATCTATTCGTTATCCAAAATAGATAAAATAAAATAATGCTATTAGACCTTTTACACTTAAATGTATATTATTTTCTTGTTTATTCTTATATCTTCACATCATGTATTAATTTCGGTCTAGTGAATCTTACTAAAATAAAAGACTAGTCTAATTTTTCTAAAAATTGTATGACTAAGGTCTCCTTTAGAAACAGGTTATTTTAATAATTTTTTGACCTTTTACGAAAAAAATGTGCAGAAAAATAGAAAGAGAGTAATGTGACATCTTACAGTGACTTTTTGATTTTTTTGATTAAAACGTATAGTTGACAAATGAGACCTTATTATATTTTCAAAAAAATTCAAAAAAAAAAAATCAATATAATGTACTCTAATTTTTTTTTTCACTTCATAAAAAAATAAAAAATTATTATAAAAAAATAAAAATAAATCCCAAACAACATGCTAGTTGGATGGACAATAGTTAATATAATGAACCCACTTAAAACAGAGACCTCACAGTATTACCTAATTATAGTCTGAAACAATTTTCTGTTTGCCGTTTAAACCGCGAACGGTCTCTCTCTCTCTCTCTCTCTCTCCCCTCCCTTTTCATGTTCCAATTTGTTCCCTTTCAGCTTTTGCCACCTTCCCACCCACCACCCAAAGGCGGCCTCGAATTCTTCCTCTCTACCTACATTTTCCAAATCCACAAACAAAAATTTATAGACAAGTCGATTGATATACAGATTTGTTATTATAGTTATATGTATATACAACAATATTGATTGATGGATCTCGGAAGAAGAGGAGGAAGTTTCGTGGTTTCGGGTGCGGTGTTTGTGTTGGGATTGTTACTGTTTTTTGCTTCATCGAATTTGGTTTCAGCCAATTTCGTGTTCAATGTGAAGCATAAATTTGCGAAACGTGAAAGGACATTGGATGCTCTAAGGGCCCACGATGACCGCCGTCACGGCAGAAACCTCGCCGTCGATCTCTCCTTGGGCGGCAATGGCAATCCCACTGATGTCGGGTTAGCTCTCTCTTTCTCTCTCTCTCTCTCTATATATACATATATGATACTAGTGCAAGATGTGTGCAATTCAAATAAACAGAATAAAAATAAATAATAAAAAAAATTAATATTATAATATGACAATCGAATTAATGAGCTTATTGAATTTCATTATTAATGTTTCAAATTGTGCTCGAGTTCCGATTTGTTAAAGTGGAACATCGTGAAGTTGGTATATTGTGGGATTAATTAGTACCAATGTTAATAATATCGCATATGACTAGTTGAGAAAAATATCTATGTAAAAAATTGAATCGATCAAAGATCAAATCACATATATATATATTATAATATAGGGATAGTTTATTTTTAAAAATATGCAGGCCGTATAGATAAAAATAATCTGATAATATAACAATCGATATTGAGTCAACTTGATATTTTACATTGACAATTTTTGAAATTAATTATATAAGATGAACGGTTTAGATTACCGAAATGAATTCAAATTAATAATGGATCACCTTTATCGTGAAATTGAGATTTTCAACTTTAACAAATCCAGACTCCTTTTTTATTGGTATTGTATTGTCATAAATACATATAATAAAAAATATTCAAGATCAAGAGTGCAATCCCATTAATTTGAATCGTGAAATGGACACTAGAAGCCACTCATATGATACGAGAAATGTTAGAGATCCACAATTTAAAATGGTTGAATATGTTATAAATCAAAGATTTTTTGGGTATGTATAAGTCAAAAATTGACTCCTATCATGTCACATTGTGGGCCAAATTGAGGGATTTTTTAAGGTCTCAATACAGATAGAATTAGATATCTTAGTTTTACTTATTTTACTATAAACTTGAACTGGTAGCTGATTCGGATTATATAGGTGCTGAGATGCATAAAGATTGATCTATGTTCAATTTCCAAATTGCAATGCATTAAGATGTCGATGCCCAGTAGTGAAAGTGGGTCTATCGTAAGTATTCTAGTAGGTTTGTTTTTGGGTTGAAGTTGTGTTTTTGTTGTCCCTTCTAGTCTAGTATGTATTATTATTATATATATATATATACATTTATATTTCCATAATAGAATAGGAATGAGAGGCCAGTTACTCTATTTCATCATAGAAAGAATTCTGGAGTCGTATAGGTTAATATTCTTTCAATAAACATTCTTTATTTCATAGAAGCATCTAATTTTTCTTTTTGATGATTTTGGATTCAATTTGTTTGTTTCTAAAACTAATTTGTTATAAAATGATTATGCAGTGTCAATTAGTATCAAATTAAGTTATTTAGACCCAAAAAAAAAATGTTTTGGTCTGAATTATAACCTGGTTAATTGATTATGTTACATATTTAGTGTTTTGCATTCTTATAAAGACTTCACAAATAATGCATATCAAAATTAATAAAGAGAAGAAAACATAAAGATAAGCTTTTATTCATGTACTGAGTTATTTCTTAACCAAAATCCTCTCTATATATTAGGTTCTGTATGTTTTCTTACTCTATGGTGTTTTCTTATAAACGCTATATGTAGCATATTGTTCAAAATGTGCAACATCCAAATGGTCCAGTGGTTACAGTAGTGGATATAATCATATGAACGAGTAAGAAAACTTATTTTGAGGTAAATAATCTATCTCTACTTTTATTTTATTTATGTACTTGAACAATGAAAAATACATAATTGTGAATATCTCCACTTCTTGTAAATTGGAATTTTGATTTTGGACTTATATTTTGTGATATATTCATTTTGTAAATATCTTTACTTCCATTTTGCATATAGTTGGCATGTGTAAAATTGGAACTAATTTAATTAATTTATTTGTTTTTATCTTTATACCAATTCATTTTATTTCATTGCAGTAATGGATTGAATTTTATCTAATGAATACTTCGGATGAATTTACTTATTGTGTCAAAAATTATTTATTTTTGCTGAGTTTTTATGTTTCATATTATGATTTTTACTAGATTCTTGGTTGCATAAGCTCAATTGAGAAACAAAAGGCTAAGATGGTTTAGTCATGTACAATGAAAACCTATAGATGCAAAGTAAGGAAGAGTGTGCAATATTAGCACCATAAATGAAAATGTTAGGGAGAGGGGAAGACATAAACTAACATGGGATGTGGTAGTAAATAAAGTTGGGGTTTGTAGTATTATTGTTTTACAATTGTGCTACTGTCATTGATACTATGCATCATGTATATTTTTAGTATGGATGTATTTATTGAAGTTGGAGCTTTATTTGGCTGATTGAATTAGGCTCTACTACACTAAGATTGGCATTGGGACTCCTCCAAACGACTATTATGTGCAGGTAGATACGGGAAGTGACATTCTGTGGGTGAATTGTTTTGGTTGCGACAAATGTCCTACAAAAAGTGACCTTGGTGTATGCTCCCCCTTCTTTTACTTGGACGTTTATATTTTTGTTTTCTGGTTTTTGTGTTTGTTATCTCAAACATTCTATATAGCTCTCCTCATGGTTCCAATTTCAAATAATATAATGTTTTTTTAAAGATAAATTTATTGTCAGGGTTACTGTGTAATAGGTAGAACTGAGACTTTTTGATCCAAAGTCCTCCACAACTGGATCATTGGTTACCTGTGACCAAGATTTTTGCGTCGAGGCATTCAACCCTTCTGATTGCAAGGTTGGATCAGTCTGTTCATATGGTATTACTTACGGAGATGGGAGCACAAGTTCAGGATACTTTGTCAAAGATAATATACAATTGGATCGAGCTTCCGGAAACCTTCAAACTACACCCATGAATGGTAGCGTAGCATTCGGGTCAGTTCACATTTCTACTTTTGGAGTGTATTTCAACAATACACTCACGCATATGTGCTTGGCATCTTAGAGAATTGCTATATATATCAAGTTCTTGAAACACCTACTCATTAATTGAATGAGTGTATGGCTTATGAATATCATCTCACTTATGTATGGGTTCACTACTAATCAGTTGTGCAACAAGAACTGCACTTCGGGGGTTACAAAGTTGTAATAGAGCACAAGAACTTGCATCTTCTTTCGAGAACCTTGTATTATGACATCATAATGTGGTAGATTACTTTATTTTTAGTGTAGGACCTAATATAATCAACTTGATTATGTGGAGGTTGAGCTCTTCCACAAGAATACCAATATTTTTTTCATCTCAAGTGCTCATTACTTTTGGCTTTGGAATGATCACAGTCTCATGAACCAACTAAAACACAAAGTGTGACCACTCTTGCTCACAATCTTTATTGTGTGAAGAAAATTTGGATTATTTGCTTAAAATAGGTTTTATTTTACTGTGATTTTTTTTAACCAAAATGAATGTTTCCAAGTTGTGAAGGTGATCTTTCTCATTATTTGAATTTGGTTGTCCCAATTATTTATGGTGGGCATTGGGTCATAATGTTGTCATGCCATAAATTATCATTGTATTTGTTTTACACAGAAAACAGTTTAAGGTTGTATTATCTCACTCATGGTCAGTATTCTAGTTAGCTTTATGTAGCTTGTTTTGCTACCCTATATTGAAGGTTTTTTGGTAGATAAGTTATGCTAAGGATTTAAATAGTTAAGATACACCTTCTTTAACAACTTTAGTTTCTAAATGAGGTCAGAGTGAGTGCGGTATTAGAGTAGGAAGGCTATATTTGAATCCCACTGCCTACATAATAAATACAATACTTGTACATGGTTGGTCCACTCATGAAGGAGAGTTTGCGCACGGATGAAGGGGCCTTGTTGAGGTAATAATCACATAAAAATAAATAAATATACATATATATTTTTCATCAGGATTTCAATAGTTACTTACATCTTATAATTTAAGCTTTTAAATGAAATGGCTGTTAACAAGTTAGTTTGATCAGTGATATCTATATTACCTTTGACATGTTTTTCAAGTTCTGTATACGTCTCATTCTTAGGTCTAATCCACATTGAAAACATGATAATTAATTTAGAAGAATTTATTTACAATGTTGCTTCTGTTGCTTACATAAAATTTTCTGGTCCAAGATAGGTGTGCATCTAAGCAATCTGGTCAGCTAGGTACTTCTTCAGCACTTGATGGTATCCTTGGTTTTGGACAATCAAATTCTTCCATGTTATCACAGCTAGCATCGGCTGGAAAGGTGAAAAAAATTTTTGCACATTGCTTGGACGGTACTAATGGAGGTGGAATCTTTGCTATTGGACAAGTGGTGCAGCCAAAACTGAACGCAACTCCAATTATCCCAAATCAGTATGTAATTTTATATCATTATTTCTAAGATGCGGTGCAATTATAAGTTTTTTTTGTCATTTGGATGAGATTTGTCTTCTTTCCAATTGATATCCGTCAAACATTTTGCATCCCATTTGATGGAAGTGACCATTTAGAGCTTTAGGATCTGACTAAAGTTCTATAGAAGCAACAATTTTTCCCAATATGATTAAAAAACCAACTAGGCCTAGCCAGGAAATGGGAAGCGGATCAAGAATTTAATGGGCAACCTAACCAGAAATGTTAGTAAGAAACTTACGCAAAACATAAAGGAAACATTTAAAAAACTTACTGGAAACCTATATGAATACTTTAACAAATACTTAGCATAATGAATGCTTAATTGGAACTAAAGAAAAAATAAGAAAATAAAGCAAACAAAACTAGATCTTATGTCCCAACTAATTTGTTCTGGCTACACGAGTCCTTTTCTGCCATTTTTCTCTGTCAAGAGTTATATGCTTAGTTAAACTTAATCAATTCATATCTTTTTTTACAACATCTCATGTCAATTTTAGGTCTTACCCTCCCCTTAGTATTTCCATTTATAGTGGTAATATCACTCTTCCTTAACGTTGTATCTAGAAGCCTTCGTTTACATGATCAAACTATTTTATTCAATTCTCTCTCAACTTATTTTCAATTGGTCACCATGAATTGTAAAGTACATATGATTCACAGGATAACATGCTGTAAGAATAGCATGCATTTGAAACAAAAGGGCACAAGCCATTCTTGTATAAGAAATAATATTGAATGGCATGCATAGTATGCAAAGTAATAACTAGGGTATTACAATTTCAGTTCTTTTCAGCAACCAGGAGAAATTCCTGACAGAGTCATTTTCACAGCTGAAACTTACAGAAAATAGTAAAATCTGGATATGCTCATCTGTCGGCTATCATTTATGATATTTTATCTGTCCATCTGACAATTTAATGCTCTAGGATACAAGTCTTGACCAGATTGATTTTCTTGGTTTTGCTTTCTGATGCTTTGGGCGTTCAACCATATGACTGAAGAAAAATATGACTTTGTCAGTCTTTAATAAAGTGATTAGAAGCTAACTGTGCATGTTATGACTGTAATTAGCAATTACTGTTTTTTTTTTTTTTAGCAATTAATGTTTTTTTTTTTTTTTTTTTGTTGCAACTTTCCTGTTAAAATCTGATAAATTCAAATCTGTTTTTAGTGGATTTTATACTGTGGCATTATTTTACTATTCATTTATGCTTAGTTCCTTAAATAGGTTCTAAGTACAGTTCTATTACTATCTTAGGGTACATTACAATGTCATTTTGAAGTCAATTGAGGTGGGTGATGCTGTTCTACAACTTCCATCAGACGGATTTGACACTGATTCTGGAAAACCGATGATAATGGATAGTGGTACAACCTTGGCATATCTTGGGGATGAATTGTTTAACCCACTAATGAAAAAGGTATGCCAAGTATTTCAAAGTATATTTATTTAGAGTTTGTTAATTAAGGATGTATGTACTCTTTATTGATTTATTTATTTATTTTTGTTATTAGATTTTGGCTGCACAACCCAATTTGAAATTGCTTAGGTTTCAGCAGCAGTTCACATGTTTTAAGTTCACTGGCAAGTAAGGACCCTTTCCCTGAATGATTTTTTCTTCTTTCTATTTATGAAATATCTAGATATCATGTATATACCATGAAAGGTAATATTCAAGGTCACCGTCTTATAATGCATTAATGGGGTTGACATTTCATCCAGTTGTGTAATATGCTTACATTCATTAAGAGAATATGATCCACTTGCATTCTAACCTTGACAAATCAAGGATTGTGTCCTAGACTTCTACAAGAAAAACCAGAAGTGGAAGTATGTTACAGAAATTCTTAAGTTTATCAACAATGGTGTTTTCCTAGGATACAGAAAATTTGTGTAGTGTTATATTCCTATCCTATGTCCTAAATAGGCATTCCACTAAACTCTTTTTTTCTTCTTTTCTATGATTTTTTCTTCCCTTTCTTTTCTGGAGATAAGAACTTCATCAAATAGCTTTCTTTGAGGGGACAATGGACATTGAGGCTCCAATGCCTTAGCTTGTGCTTCTGGAAGAACCTAGATACCACGTAGGTCTAGACAGGAACTCTCATCAGGGTGCATATCCATCATTTGAACTCGAACTGTTATTTTAAAGGGTACATTACACCCGCACCTCCTAAGGCTTGCCTTTATATAGATTCTCCCATCACATTTTGGAAATTACACTAAACCCCCTATCAGAGTTTGTCTTTCTATTTGCACACCACACTTTGTCTCAATTCACACCATTTTTTTTCGTTCAGATATCAACTCAAAATCAGTTGTTTGGATATCAACTTAGTGAACAGTATTTTTGTTTGAACAAAAACCCTGTTCACTAAGTTGATATCCGAACAATTGATTTTTGTTCAAAAGTTAATATTCGAACGGCAAAATGGTGTGCAATGAGAATATTTCTGGTGTACGAATAGAATTACCTCCACTAAGACCATTAACAGAAAATTGAAATGACTTTATTACCCTTTTCCTTTTATCTCCTCTCTCTAGTTTCCATCCCTACAACCCTAGTATGCAGAATACAACCCATGGCCACCGCCACCCCAATTACACCAACCATCACCACCATCGCAACCCATCGTCACCCACCAACCACTAGTGCAGCCATTCCTTCCCAGATCAATTGTTGCAGCACTGGACTGTCATCAGCGTGGAACACAAATCTGTGGTGGAAAAATAGGGAAGAGAGAGATTGTGAACAATGGAGAGAATGTAGCTTCATGTTCTTTTTCCACAACTTTGACTATAAACAATTTGCCTAAAAATTAAGCTGAAACCATAAGTATCTGCTATATTTCTAAGGAACTAAGCAATATGGCAGTGTGTTATTTATAACCACATTTATATTTGCAACCAAACCCCATTTTTCTTTCCTGCACTTTTCACATTAGAGATTGTTTGCATCTCAAAATAAATCTTTAAGCATGACATGTTCTACTGTAGAAATTTAATGTATAAAGAGAAATAGAGAATTGTATTATTGATTGATTTATATTGATATTGGAAAATATTTATGTATTATTGATTGATATAATGTTATTGATATTCTGTCTATTACAAATGGTTCCTTATATAGATGTAGGTGTAGTGGATGGTGTGTAGTGGATGGTGATAGTGGTGTAGTGGGTTAGGTTTAGTGGAGTAGGTGAGGTGGTAGTGGTGTAGTGGGTTAGGTTTAGTGGAGTAGGTGAGGTGGTAGTGGTGGTAGGTGATGGTAAATTCTAACAGCCCCCCGCAAACTCAAGGAGGATAGAAACTAACCAACTTGAGTTTGAAGAGAGGAACAAAACAAGAAAATACATAAAAAAAGGATAGGAGACACTGTATGGTCGTGTCAGACCGTTGGTGAATACACTGTATGGTAGTGTCATAACGTTGGAGAGGACACTGTATGGTGGTGTCATAACGTTGTAGAGGACACTGTATGGGGGTGTCACAACGGTGTAGAGGACACTGGATGGCGGTGTCAGACCGATGTAGAAGACAGTTTATGGGGTCATGTCGGACCGTTGTAGAAGACAATGTTCTGACAGTTGTTGAGACAGTTTACAGAGTCTTGTCGGACCAATAAAGGAGCTAACCGGAATCAATGTCGGGACAGTTTACAGAGTCTTGTCGGACCCATAAAAAATCGCATCCTCAAAAGGTGCGCTCAATTTTTCAAAAGGCGTGCCATCAAAAGTTTTAAAATAGACAATGCATAATTTAATTGAGCAAATTTTCGGATTTGACTGCTGTGTAAATTCTGTGAGAAAACAGTTCTGTTTTGTATTTTTTTAAATAGTTTCTGATCTCAAAAAATTATGAAATTTTTATATATTGTTCACATACGAGTCTAGCACGTTGGGTAAAATTTTAGAATTTATTGTGCTTAGGTTTCAGCAGCAGTTCACATGTTTTAAGTTCACTGGCAAGTAAGGACCCTTTCCCTGAATGATTTTTTCTTCTTTCTATTTATGAAATATCTAGATATCATGTATATACCATGAAAGGTAATATTCAAGGTCACCGTCTTATAATGCATTAATGGGGTTGACATTTCATCCAGTTGTGTAATATGCTTACATTCATTAAGAGAATATGATCCACTTGCATTCTAACCTTGACAAATCAAGGATTGTGTCCTAGACTTCTACAAGAAAAACCAGAAGTGGAAGTATGTTACAGAAATTCTTAAGTTTATCAACAATGGTGTTTTCCTAGGATACAGAAAATTTGTGTAGTGTTATATTCCTATCCTATGTCCTAAATAGGCATTCCACTAAACTCTTTTTTTCTTCTTTTCTATGATTTTTTCTTCCCTTTCTTTTCTGGAGATAAGAACTTCAAATAGCTTTCTTTGAGGGGACAATGGACATTGAGGCTCCAATGCCTTAGCTTGTGCTTCTGGAAGAACCTAGATACCACGTAGGTCTAGACAGGAACTCTCATCAGGGTGCATATCCATCATTTGAACTCCAACTGTTATTTTAAAGGGTACATTACACCCGCACCTCCTAAGGCTTGCCTTTATATAGATTCTCCCATCACATTTTGGAAATTACACTAACCCTCCTATCAGAGTTTGTCTTTCTATTTGCACACCACACTTTGTCTCAATTCACACCATTTTTTTTCGTTCAGATATCAACTCAAAATCAGTTGTTTGGATATCAACTTAGTGAACAGTATTTTTGTTTGAACAAAAACCCTGTTCACTAAGTTGATATCCGAACAATTGATTTTTGTTCAAAAGTTAATATTCGAACGGCAAAATGGTGTGCAATGAGAATATTTCTGGTGTACGAATAGAATTACCTCCACTAAGACCATTAACAGAAAATTGAAATGACTTTATTACCCTTTTCCTTTTATCTCCTCTCTCTAGTTTCCATCCCTACAACCCTAGTATGCAGAATACAACCCATGGCCACCGCCACCCCAATTACACCAACCATCACCACCATCGCAACCCATCGTCACCCACCAACCACTAGTGCAGCCATTCCTTCCCAGATCAATTGTTGCAGCACTGGACTGTCATCAGCGTGGAACACAAATCTGTGGTGGAAAAATAGGGAAGAGAGAGATTGTGAACAATGGAGAGAATGTAGCTTCATGTTCTTTTTCCACAACTTTGACTATAAACAATTGCCTAAAAATTAAGCTGAAACCATAAGTATCTGCTATATTTCTAAGGAACTAAGCAATATGGCAGTGCGTTATTTATTTGGAACCACATTTATATTTGCAACCCAACCCCATTTTTCTTTCCTGCACTTTTCACATTAGAGATTGTTTGCATCTCAAAATAAATCTTTAAGCATGACATATTCTACTATTCTATAACATCTACTTGGTGAATGTATGAGTTAACTATTTTGCACTGACTTGATTCTTACAGTTACATTGGTATGCATATGCATGTATCTATATATGTATAGGATATAATGGTGGAGGCAGTTGTTGGAGAAAGGTGGCGGCACTGGGGTAGTGGTTATGGTGAAGAGAAGTTAAAGTGAGGGCCAGTGGTGGGTGAATTTGGGAAAGAGGGGAGAGTTTGCTAGCTGGATTTGGGGGAGTCTAAGAGGGTAAAATTGGCATTTAAAAAAATAATTGACAATGTCAGCAAAAGGCGTTAATTGACTTGATGGCTGGTTAACGATGGGGGCAACTTATAATTCAATTACGAATCTCAGGGAGGACAACGTAATTTCCAAAACCTTAGGGGGAATCTGTATTGAAAGCGAACCTCAAGGGGTGTCAGTGTAATATACCCTTATTTAGATTACTAGATATTTGATTTGATTGTAGAGGTGACGAGTAATTAAATAAGAATCTTGTGTTTTATACAAATTGGGGGCAGTATAATACTTACACAAAAGGTCATTTTATCCAATTTGCATCAATTAAATGGAATAATTTTGCCTTGTTCAGACTAATACTGGTTCAACTTTTTTCATGAATAAATCATGATCAATTAACCCATTAAAACAACACATTACTTGTTACAAATAACATCTTGTTGCATTGAAACTTATAAACTTTGACCACTGTGATGAGAAAAATCTGACAATGCATATTCATTATAAATTGACGATCTCACATAACATGTAATCATATATATATATATATATATATCATCAGGTCACAAGTCCATATAGTACTCATTGCAATCCAAAGGTTGTTGAGTATGTGCATCAGTTACATCAGTGCTGTTTTTTTGGCCCGATTTATATGCTTGAATATGTTATACTTGGATCACAAATTCTGTTGGTAATCAATTTAATTTACTTGGAACATCTTTTCTTTGCCTAATCTCTTGCAGTGTTGATGATGGATTTCCGGCTGTCACTTTTAGTTTTGAGAATTCACTTTCTCTGACTGTTTATCCTCATGAATATCTGTTTCAACATCGTGTAAGTAATCTGAGATTCAGGCCTTGATGAAAATTTTCATTTCTTATATGATTTGGTAATATGGTTGTTTCTTGTGATTAATTTGTAGTAGTTTACAGATTTTCTTTTAATTTTAAGATAATGCATGTGATTTCAAGACCTAAGTGAATGTTTAATGAGGGCATGCTAATTGCAAGTTTGAGCTTGATCCTTGTCATGTAGTTTATATCCTTAGTTGTTGGATCAAATCTTTCTGTCTATTGCTATGAATGGTAATGGAGAGTTTGACAAAATCTATAAATTCTAAGATGGAAGAACCTTGACAAGCTATTCTACACATCTTTTTCTAAATTTGTAAAGTACCCGTTTTGAACATGAGACATTTGGGTAAGGGTATATAATGTATGTGTCTGTCAGTCTGACATGGTTGGTTGGACATACACCCAACAAGTATGCTAAAGTAGTTGAGTTTACTGTATAGGCTTACGATTCCCATTTTGTGCATGAAATGCTCTATGTTAGTTTTAAAACAAAAAACAAATAAAGTACTTCCAAAATACAAATCCAGCAATGACCTAGTGTCTTTCAACATGAAAATTAGATGAATCAAACACTTAAACACATACCTACAACCGACACCTGGTACAAGTCTATATAACATAGATGAGAACTGTGCATAATCTCATTACATTATTTATAATTTTGTCATTAAATTAGGTAGTCATAATTGCAATCTCAAGGTGGTAGAAACTATCAAGTTTCTAATTTATGCATATTCTTCTTTCTTTTTGGAATATTTTATGTTTATAGAACCTAAGTATGTTAACAAAATATTTTATGTTTGTCAAAACCCCCAACCCATGACACACACAAAGTTGGTGTATGTGGCTGGCCAGTAGTGATTGCTACCAAAGGCCTTGTTAAACTGAAGTGTTGTGCGGCTGTACCATATTAATTTTTCATAGGAAGCATAAGATAAACATATGATAACAGCTATGCATGTCATAAACCATCCATCAGAGCTAGTGCCTAAGTTCCAAACTTCATATCATTATATAAAAGACTAGGTGTCTTGAGTCATTACATCCTTGGCCATTCACAAAGGCCACATTACATATATGTACATAACAAGTCTCAAAAGATAATTCACCATATTTCATAGTTAAAGTCTTTGAAAGTATGGCACAACTTCAGTCATCTTCTCATATACAAAAATGCACACAAAATCTGGGATCCACATCTCAAGCTGCATCCCCTGAAATATCTAAATGAATGGGGTGAGCTACACCAATCCAGTGAATAATGAAAACCCTTGGGTACCATGGGTACATTGCAATTAAAAGCGTAACTCAATTTATAATCAAAGGATATGATAACTTCATATGAAATAAAACATTGCTCATCATCATCGTACTTTGGGTTTAACAAAATGGGCAAGACAATCGAACTCCTCCATGTGGTGAATCAAAACCACATATAGTGGTAGAGGACGATTCCTCACATCATCATCATGAACAAACAGGTTTATTTAAAGTCTCCCATTAGAGGACCTCCCAGACATGGCACAAAATAGCTGTTCAATCACATTTCAAAATAATGTATATCTGTGGTTTACAAATTGCATTTAGAACATGGCTTTTGATAGGAACATGGAGATAACATTAGTATTCTACATAAGCAAAGCACTGAGTGCAAAATTTTCAAAACCTTTACTCCAAGCATCCCTCTTACTCACCTTAGTTCTTAAACACGCCCTTGGATCCTCTTCATTCACAATAGTACACAATATAATGCATAAACATTGAGGCACATCGAGTAACCAAAGGCTACATGACATAACCCCTTTCCATTTTAATTTTTAAGCCACATTTAAAGTGTACTAGGGCCTAGAAGCCTTGTATTGGACCTTATTTATGCCCTAAACAATGTCTTATGGGGGCTGAAAATGGCTTCCTAGGTCGAAAATAGTCAAAATGGGTCAAACCAACCAAGTTCATTTGAGCAGCATTTAAAGTCCAAATCTCACTTTTTAAAGTACAAATCCACAAAATATGTCATGCAAATGTTGTCAGAAATGGAGAGAACGGATTCCTTTGGATGAACCAAAAATGGTCAAGATATAATGCTGTACTAAGCTCTTAATGGAATTGATGATGGCTGCTATATTTCGATCCACTGATTATGGTAAAGAGTATCATGTTCTATGTATTGCTTATGAGGATTTGAACTAGCGAGTGATTACTACAAAAAAACCACAGATATCTAGAGCATAAATGCTAATATTGGAAAAGGAGGAAGGCTTGAGGCTACTGATAGAACACCTTACAACTTAGTCACCACTTATCATTTTGATCAACATAAGGGAGAGGCTATTCAAAACAAGTACTGAGTGTCTATATTGGAATTCTATCCTCATACACTAACCATTCTATACATTGTTGTGGCAATTTATATGGCTTAATTGGTTGTTTGTAGTTATAAATTTGTTATTTATGTAGCACATCAGTTTCTGAATTTTGATTATAATATTCTCTAAAGGTCTTTTTACTTCATATCTTCCTTATTTTCATTTTTGCAGGATGATGAGTGGTGTATTGGCTGGCAGAATAGTGGGATGAAATCGAAGGATGGAAAGGAACTAAATCTTTTGGGAGGTATCATTCAAAGTGGTTTTGTTGGATTTATATTTCAACTTTCTTATACATAGTCTTTTAAAGCACAACTCTGTTTTTGGTGAATTTGGGTTGTGGCATTAGGCTGTTCACCCAAGTTGTGTTAAATCATTTCAAAACTTACGTCAACAAGTAGGGCTATAAGAAAAACAGTTGGAACCAAGCCGACTGCCCAAGACTGACAGAAATTTTGGTTTTCAGTCAGTTTTTCTTAAGGTATAAGTTCGTTTCGGTTTTGAAAAGTTTTACAACAATATTGACCAAACTGACCAAAATATTATGTTTAAACATTTTTCATATTTTGATTCTTTTTGAGTATTAGAAGATAAGTGACCAATAGCTACACAATTTCCAAGGTTAGGAAGAGAGACATTTATAGAGCATCCTTCACACTCAATCTACATTACATTTATTTCCCATATGAGATTCTACAAGTTTCTGTAAAACCCTTAAACGTTAATGTAAACCAAAGAGCTTGGTTGTTAAATTTTTCCTCAATCCTGACTGAACCAAACTGATTACACCCCTATCAACAAGTTGTTCCAACCTTATCTTTTACCATGTATTCATTTTAGAGCTTTTGCCTGAGCAGCAGCCGTGAGTGGCAGTCATGGTCGACTGCCAGTGAGCTTAGCGGACATACTTATGGTTTGTATACCCCAGCTTAGAATAGGTTGTGGTATAAGCACCTACAATCTATAATTAATATAAAGTAATGTCAGATACACCTTGCAGCACCCAGGACAGGACCTAACCACCTTTTATACTAAAACCAAAAAATTAGCCTATTATACTGAAGCTGGTTTTTTACAAAATAGGTTCTGATTTATATGCTAAACTCTTTATCTCTCAAGGACAAATTCCTGACAGTGTTATACAATATTATTCAGTTGCTATTTGTAATCCTTGTGAATTTTTTGTAACATAAAATTATTGATGAATCCACTCTGAACATATGGACTGACAATGCTGGAAATCTTTGAGAACAGCCAACCTGTTGATTTGATGGACAATGCCATTTACATTAAGGAACAAAAAAAATGAATGACAAGTTGTACTCTTATTAATTCATATTTTCCTCTCAAATGCAGATATGGTCCTATCAAATAAGCTGGTTGTGTATGATCTCGAAAATCAGACAATTGGGTGGAGTGAATACAATTGTGAGTATAGCATATATTGTTCAGTTACTTCTATGGTTTTTGGTCAATTTCATAACTTAATCTTTCCTTTTCCTGTATGTTGTTTATATTGGAAATCCTTTTTTATTTCTTTCTTCCTTTCTTCTAATTTTTCCAATTGTGAAAAGAAGTATCAATTGTTATTGTCCTTGAGTATCTTACGGTATTTGACTTGATGTTTCCATTTTGTTTCCATTTTTCTTGAGGATATTCTGAATGGTTGGATGGGTTACATGCACTATCAATTATAAGCTTGTTTTGCATAAAACCAAGAATTAGAATAGTGGATAGACTGAAATAGAATTGAGTGTAATGTGCTGTTGAATCATTTCTACCTGTTTGTCAGTGTCATAAATGTTCCTTTCTCCTTTTCCGTTGAAAGATGTACTTGCTTGAATTTGAACGAAATTCCATTCGGTTTATATAACGACATTGATGATTTCTGTTGGAAGGTAGCCCACTGCATGAAAAATTGTGGGAATTTACATAAATTGTTTGGTTGATCTCAGGCTCTCTCGGCATCAAAGTGAAGGATGAAAAATCTGGAAATGATTATCAAATTGGTGCCAAAGAACTTTCTTCGGCTTGTAGTATGAATACAGGATGGACATTAACATTATTGTCGCTATTGGCTATCTTGCACAGTTACCTGTAATGAGTTGTTGGACAAAGTAGAATGGCGGTGGCATTAATTGATTTTTGTATACCATACAATTTCATTTTCTATTTATGTTTTAATGAAAATGTTATATGATTCTTTGATATCGCAATGTTGCCTTCTATGTTTCACTCACAAGTCACTAATGATGGCTACTCTTAAGCCCCGAATGGTTCAGAAAGGTTAGAAGAGATGAGAAAACCTCTTCATCATATTTTTTTCTTTCTTTCTTTCTTCCTAGAATATGTGTGTCAATATATTTGTAAATCTATTTTGGATTGGTGAAATTGACTTTAATTCAATCAGTACAACCAACTAGGCCTAACCTAGTTGGTCATTATACCTTCCTTGGGGCTTAGTCCTTAAGGAGGTTATGGGCTAAACTCTCTTAGGAAATTGAATTAAGAGAGTGCAAGTATTTAAGTGCTTTATTAAGGATGGGAAAATTTTCTTTCATAAGAGAAAACCTCTTCATCATATTTTTTTCTTTCTTTCTTTCTTCCTAGAATATGTGTGTCAATATATTTGTAAATCTATTTTGGATTGGTGAAATTGACTTTAATTCAATCAGTACAACCAACTAGGCCTAACCTAGTTGGTCATTATACCTTCCTTGGGGCTTAGTCTCTAAGGAGGTTATGGGCTAAACTCTCTTGGGAAGTTGAATTAAGAGAGTGCAAGTATTTGAGTGCTTTATTAAGAATGGAAAAATTTTCTTTCATAACTGCTAATCTAACAATTAACAACTAACATTTACTGATCAAAATATATATATATATATTCAATCTCTACATTGCTCTGCAGAGAACTAATTGAGGGATTTGCACAACCGAGAATAGAAAATTTACAGGATAACATGAATTTCGAGTTAAAAAAAAAAAAGGAAGTCCCTGGAGGGAAATCCGATAATATTTGTGAAAGAAGTTTTTTCACAGGTTTTTCTTAAAGTTTCTTATTTCTTTCATTAGGCATATGATATTACGAACAACCAGTTATTTTATAAACATGTAGAAAAACCAAACTTCTCTGAGCAGGAAGTGTTTCTGATGGCTACAATGATAGAATTTTTCTTCACTGATAGCCAAAGCTATTAACAAAATCCTACATGTCCCTTAAAAAAATTCCAAAATTTTCTGATTCATGTTATTTTCAATATATATATATATATATATTTTAAAGATGGGGACCAATGATGACTTCAAATTTGAGTCATGCTTGTCCAAAATGAAATGTTATTGAATAGGGAAGTTGAGTCTTAGGTCTCGTTTGATAACTTTTAGTTTTAATTAAAAAGTTAAAAAGTCATTATAAGTTGTTACATCATTCTCTCTACTTAATTAAAAAGTCATTATAAGTTGTTGCATCACTCTCTCTACTTTTCTACATATCTTTTTGTAAAAATCAAAAAATTTCTAAAAGAGTATATTTCCAAACGAGACCTTATTAATAGTCTTTTTAGGAAGTGATTTTTTTTATATTAAAATATAAAGCGAAGAAAATTAATATATTTTGGAAGAATTTTTTTTATTTTTTATAGAAAAATTTGCAAATAAAAGTGTGAGTAGAAAAGAATGTTTGATTTTGTAGAATGAACGAGAATGAACCATTAATCTTTTTGAATAAGTTATAAAAAAATTTATTTTTAAATGACTTTAATTAAAATAATCCTTTGTCAAATGGAACCTAAAATAACAGTACTCTCTTCATCCTAAAATAGTAGTTCTTTTTGAGAATTTTACTTTTTTTAATAGTATAATTATTATATTTTGAAAATATTAATTTTTCAAAATTACTCTTTTGTAGTACATTTTTTTTGAAAATATCAATTATTATAATTGTATTTTTTGTGTTGTTAATGAATTTAAAAAAAAAGACAAAATATGAAATTTATATTATTTTATTTTTTAATTTTTAAAAAAAGAAATATTTTAAGATAATAAAAAATAAAATAAAAAATTAATTTTTTAAAACAGAGTAAGTAATAGAAGGATTTATGGATGCAATACAGCATACAACAATGATTCATCTCCCATTTTCCTCCCACCCCCTTTGACCCCCTCTCTCTCTCTCATTGGTTACATTTTCTTTTGCTTTTTCTTTTTTTTCCTGCTCCTCCAATCACCACCCGCCACGTGACAAAGGGGTGAGGGGTGACCCCCAAAAGGGGTCCCAAGCATTATTCATACTGCATATATACAGTTCTCTGCTTTTATACCTACTCATTACTGTGCTGATTGTGTAAGTGGCAACAGATAGTGATACTCAAAAAATAATAAATTAAAAAACTGAAAATTAAATTAAATTAAATTAAATGTGGTCGGTAAAAATGGGAGAACATATGATATGATATACTTTCTCTTAAAAAGTGTGTATAAATAGAATATTCTTTTTTAATGATTGAGAGTGAGAGAGAGCCAAGGCCATTAACAAACTTTACTTATCTTTCTTTCCTTTTCTTTTTTTTTAAATATTCAAAGCCTTCATCTGGAAAGTTTGTTAATTTTTTAATTATTTTAAATTAGGTTAAAAAATTTAATTTGAGAATGATTTTTTAATTTTTTAATCTTTTTTATAAGAAAAGAATGTAATAATTATGAATTAAATATAATAATTTATTTTTTGTGATTAAAATAATTTATTTTATCTTTTATAGTTAAAATAATCAAAAAAAAAAAAAAAATCTGGAATAGCTCTTCCAAACGGACTCTTTTGATGGGCAATTTTATTTTGTTTTATTTTTAGAAAAAAACAAAAGATGTGTGCCACAACTCGTCACAAGTCAATTGACGAAAACACCCTAGATATTTCAATGAACATCAAGACCAGAAGGGCAGTTTCGTACCTTCACATCTCAAATTACACGATCCAGTTTTCTCCGTCACTCACTCTGCAACTATAAAGAACGGAGCGCCACACCTTGAAGAATCCTCCATCTCTCTCTCTCTATCTCTCTCTCTCTCTCTAAATCAACCAATCAAAATTGAGAGAATTTGAGGACATTGACCTCCACCATAAAGGGTTTCCTGCTAAGGGCAACCCAGCCACCAATGCTGCAAGAATCCCAATACAGATAAACAGTTGGTTGACAGATCCAAGTGTGCCACGAATTTCAGTTGGTGAGATCTCAGATATGTAAAGTGGCACAATAGCAGATGAGATGCCAATTCCAATTCCAGCAAATAAACAGCAAGACACAGCCACGTCCAAGCTCCATCTCTCTCTCTATCTCTCTCTCTCTCTCTCTAAATCAACCAATCAAAATTGAGAGAATTTGAGGTGTGTGTGTGTGTGTGATTTGTGTGTTTAATGGCTTTACAGTTGCAAGTCCCTCTCACTCGCTCAGCCTCATTTTCTTCTTCTTGTGGTTCATGGACATCAAATCATTCAATTGTCTGCCTAAACGGTGGAGGAGACCAGTGGTCCTCCGCTAGGGTTTCAAGGAGTGTTTTGGAGAAGAGGAGAGAGAAGATTGGTGGTTCAAGAAGCCTGAGAGTGAGATCGAGCTTGGACGTGGCTGTGTCTGTAGGTCAGGTCACCGAGGTCTGCAAGGACACCTTCTGGCCTCTCGTTAAAGCCGCCGGTGACAAAACTGTCGTCCTCGACATGTACACTCAATGGTGTGGTCCGTGCAAGGTGATCGCCCCCAAATTTAAAGAATTGTCGGAGAAGTACCTTGATGTTGTTTTCCTAAAGCTTGATTGTAACAAGGATAACAAGCCATTGGCAAAGGAGCTAGGAATTAAGGTGGTTCCGACATTCAAGATTCTTAAAGATGGTAAAGTTGTTAAAGAAGTCACCGGGGCCAAATTTGATGATTTAGTTGGGGCAATTGAGGGTGCCAGGTCCAGTTGATATTCTCCTTCTCGTTACTCTCTTGTAAAATATTTAAAATTAACGCCATAATACACTTTTGTAATAATAGTTTTGTATTCATAACTTTCTGTTATTTTTGGATACAATTATTATCGAAAGTCAAAAGCAAAGGCTAAAGTTGGTGAGATCTCAGATATGTAAAGTGGCACAATAGCAGATGAGATGCCAATTCCAATTCCAGCAAATAAACAGCAAGAAGCTCACATCAAGACAGCTCGTGATCTTCCCCTCCTCTTTCTCTTCTCCTCTCTTCTCTCCCTCTTCCCCTCCATTTTCAGACTGCATAAAGAAAAAAAATAAAAAGAAAAAAAAAAACAGAAACTGCCCAAAACGACGTCGTTTTGGGCAGTCGTGGCATTCGGGGACGAAATTCGGAGGGAAAATCATTTTTGATATATAAATGAAAAATGATTTAGACCACTAAAAAAATATACCACTAATAGCACTAATTCATTGAGAATGACAAAAAATAAAAAAAACAAAAACAAAAACAAGGCATAAAAAGTGGGCAGGGTCCACTATCACATCATTAGTGCTCCTCTTAGTGCTCTCTTTTTAGTGTTCTGAATCATTTTTCATAAATATATATATGGGGTTAGGGTTAGGGTTAATTACTGAAATAGTCCCAAAATGTGTTATATTACATTTTAGTCCTAAGCTTTTAAATTTTTTTTTGAACGAGTCCTAATCTTTTAATTGTTTTACTTTTTTTCGCCGGAGATCAAAATTAATAGCGGGAGTAGTGATATTTTCATAATTTTACAACATAAATGCAACAAAATGAAAAGATTATTAACGAAAAATGCAAGAAAGTGGAGACTTCTCAGACTAAAATGAAACAAAATGCAAATTTTAGGAACTAAAATGCTACAAAATGCATACCTATACCTGGATTTGATCATTTTGATTTTGTTGAGGTTTTTACAAAATTCCAAAAATAACCGTCCTCTTGTTAATAATTTTGAACGGTGACAGACTCAAGTGTAAGAGATCGCAAACTTTAAGAACCACGCTAAAAGATTAGAAGATTGAGGATCAAAATGTACCAGCTTGTGTACTTGGGAGTAATTAACCCATACATATATGATGTCTTCTTTTCTTTTCTTTTTTTTTCCTTTTCCTTTTCCTTTATTTATTTATTTAGTTTCTTAGTTTGAGCAAGTATAATTTCCTGAATTTTTTTGATGAACCCTTAATTCTGGAAAGTCTACTAATTTGAAATTACTGTTTAATGTATTATTGTCTGCGCTTTAGATTGTGAGAACTATAGTTAGGAAGTAGTGTTAATAAAAATGAGACTTGTTATTGCTGAAAATGTCCGTACTGAGTTAGTTGGGTTGAAATTTTATGCAATTGAATTATGAAATTAAAATTTAATTGAGAAATTTGTCGATCAAGATACAAGACTAGAACTTAAACTACCTTCAAATCAGCATGTTTAGAACTTGGCAATGATGACTAATTCAAAAGTGAGGGCTGATTTTGCATCAAAGTATGACCTTAACAGAAGACGTTTTTGGGCTCTTTGTGGCATTGCTACTGATCAGAAAACCTTTTGGTTGGCAGTTAATGGGTTTCAAGCTCTCTCTCTATCTCTCTCTGCTGGATCAAGATCTTATCATCTGTTTCAGAAAGGTTTTATAGATTTTGTTACATCTTAGTTAGTTGTGTTCAAGTTTGTAATCTAGTAATTGGCATTTTTTTTTTTCGGTTTTTTGGTAAGTACTTAAAAACATGGTAAATGTAACATTAATTTATTTAAATTGTTTTCTTTGCCCTATCTCCCTGGCCAGTTCTGTATGATCTTGGTTTTTGAAGCTTTGTTGCACTTGTTTTCTCAAGAAACTCTCTAGTTTAGAGAGTGGTTGAAATACAAAATTAAAGCATTTCAATTTAAACAACCCAATCTTTGTGGAGTCTGAAAGAGTTTGATAATTAGTTTGACAGAGGGAATCAGGGATGTTTAAGGGAGAGAAAGGGGGGGAGGGGGGGGGGGGGGGGGGGGTTATTGAAAAACAAAATGGTAAGGCAAGGGGTAGAGCTGATGCACGCATCGTGTGTGAAATCCTTCTAGTAGTATTTACGTCTGGGATTGATCATTAATGTACATATGAACTGATAATTAGAATGTCTGGTATTGGAAGTGCTTTGGATAATCATCAAATCATCATTCTTTAGTATTATTGTTTTTTATTGGATATATGCTGTTGGGGATTGGATCAGATTAGATCAGGTTAGATCAGCCTATGGGCCTGATCCTAGTATTTATGATTGCAAAATGAATTGGGAATTGTCTTGAAGTGTGAGTTTTTATTTTGCCTGTGTTATATGCATTGTATTTTGGTGCATTGTCATGTCATTGGATCAATTAACTTCCTAATGGCCATTAATCTCTTCAATGTTTTTCGTTTTCTTAACTTCTGATTTTTATTGGTACTTTGAAATAATTGTAGGTGTGGTCCGTGCAAGGTGATCGCCCCCAAATTTAAAGAATTGTCGGAGAAGTACCTTGATGTTGTTTTCCTAAAGCTTGATTGTAACAAGGATAACAAGGTTGGTTTTCCGCATTTCCAACAACTCTCTCCCTCTCTCTCTCTCTCGTTTTCTGCCTCATGTTTATTTTGATAATTATTGGCAGCCATTGGCAAAGGAGCTAGGAATTAAGGTGGTTCCGACATTCAAGATTCTTAAAGATGGTAAAGTTGTTAAAGAAGTCACCGGGGCCAAATTTGATGATTTAGTTGGGGCAATTGAGGGTGCCAGGTCCAGTTGATATTCTCCTTCTTGTTACTCTCTTGTAAAATATTTAAAATTAACGCCATAATACACTTTTGTAATAATAGTTTTGTATTCATAACTTTCTGTTATTTTTGGATACAATTATTATCGAAAGTCAAAAGCAAAGGCTAAAGTTGGTTGGGAGAATAAGAGGTACCCTTTGTCTTTTGGCTTATCATTTTTGCCTTTTCATGTCTCTGTTTGTTAGTTAGTTTGGAGCAAGAGTGGGTTCTTGAACTGTGAACTGTTGGTTAGTCTTGTGAAGGAGTGAGTGAGCTTTTGAATTGTGAAGCCTATAAATAAGATAGATAGGTTGGGTGAGAGAGGATGTGTTAAAAATTTTAATCTGTTAGTTTTGTGTAGATTGTAATTTTTATGTTTTGGTTGATTAAAAGTCATTTACATACCTTTTCATGTTCTGGTTTAGGAAACCAAGATGAGATTTGTCTCAGAGGCTCAAGGATTCATCCAATGATTGATGAACTACTCAGCACCCCTCTCTAAATATCAATTTCTAAAATTTAAAATTGTACATTTAGATCTCATCATTAAAAATAATAAAATAAAACTGCATATATGTAACCCATTCTAGAAGGGGGGGAAGTGATAATTTTTACGTTGTAGTGTCTACATATACGATTTTAAAATTGAAGAGATTAAAATAATATGTTATAGTTGATGTGGTGCCGGTGTAATTAACTCTAAAAAAATAAGCCAACTAAACAACACAACCCAGATCTTGGCTTATTAGCCAAATTATATGTTTTTGTTTTTTTATTTTTATTTTATTTCATTTAGTAACAGTTTTTATTATTATTTTGGATTGGATTTTAGTAATAGTTGACTTGAAAAAAAATAAGTGAACTAAATTAGTCCGATCCTAATCCTGGGCTTGCTAACCAAATTATGTTTTTTATTTCCTTTAATTAAGCAATAATTTATGTAGAGTCTGCAATTAACATAAAAAAAAATAAGTCATCCATATTAGTACAACCCTAATCTTGGGCCAGTTAACCAATTTACATTTTGTTTTAGGACCTAGCTTGTCTCTAGTTAGAGATCAAGACTGGACCCTTCAATCCGTTCCGTGGGCCTACTTTTGAACTCTGTTTCGATAATCTGAATTATTTATATTTTAAGGTTCATCGAGTACATTATTTTTGTAAAAAATTAAATAATTAGGTAACAATAACTACGTGCTTAAATCAGTTTTGTATGAACTGTTTATTTTTTTACCGTCTATTTTTTTTATACCAAACTAATTCAAACACATAGTTACCGTTATCCAATCGACTTTATCCAATCGACTTGATTTTTTACAGAGATAATGTACTCAATGAACCCTAAAATGTGAACGATTCGAATTATCGAAACAAGACTCAAAAGTGGGCCTACGGAGCGGACTAGAGGATCCAGTCTTGATCTCCAAGTAGAGACAAGTTGGATCCTTTTTATATATCTATAATTAAAAAAAATTAAGAAGCATTTCAACATAATTCTCAAACTACATAAAAATATATTTATTACAAATACTTTTATAAAAATGTTTTTAGCAAATATGCTTTCAACTATTTTGGACTAAGTAAAATAATAATGTCACATATAAATTGTATAAAATGTGTACCAAGCCAAATCAAACCAAATCTTAAGTCTTATCAAATAGAGTCAGTTACATGAATCTTTCTTCTCCATTCGATTTTATCCAAAGCCATACTGTTAGTCAAATTAAGGAGATTCATATATCTATTTACTACATCAGCCCACGTCAATCTAAGTCTGTCCCTTCCCCTAAAACTTTCATCTACCGTCACTATATCGAATCTATTCACTACTGCCTCTGTTGGTCTTGTATATAACCAAACCATCTTAATTTATTCTTTTTCAACTTATCTTCTATCAGAACTATTTCTATCCATTCTCAAATATACTTATTCCTAACTCTATCTTTTCTACCTAAGTATTCTCATCTCAGCAACACTTGGGCAATACTTCGTCCTATACAACATTATTGGTCTAATAGCCGTTCTATATAACTTCCATTTTAGTCTAGTGGGTATTCGTTTATCGCACAGTATCCTAGACACATTTCTCCACTTAAGTTACTCCGCCCTAATTTTATAGACCAGCATCCGCTCCAATCTCTCCAGCCATTATGATAATTGATCCCAAATAACGAAAATGTTCACTTTTAAGTAGTACTTGGTTCTCAATCTTCACTTCTCCTCTGCTCCTATTGTTATTGTTACTAAAATTACATGTACTCTGTCTTAATTCTGCTTATCCTAAATCCTTAAGATTCAAGTGCTTCTCGCCAAGTCTCTAACTTAATGTTAAAACATTTTCTAATCTCATCCACTAACACGATATCATCGCAAAAAGCATATTGGTGGCACATTATCCTGAATATTTATCTTCAACTCATCTTGTAATATGCCCGGGCGGTACTTGTGCGCATTAAACTGTTCAAACCCTCGGTCTCTTTGATCTAGTCTCACTAGTGCAATGTGAAACATAGATGAGAGTCCAGATTTGGCAACTTTTAGAAAATTCATTTTATTGTAAAACATTTTGCCAGAAATGGACTGCATCATCAGATCTCAGAGTCGCCACCAAATATTTTTGGGAAATTAGGGAACCCATGACTTGTGCCAAGGCCACTGCTCGTCATAACCAAAGTTGTCTCGGTTCGGAACCTTAGGTATGAGAGAGAAAAGTCATTAATTGAGCACCCTCGCTCACCTGATCAAAAGATCGGCCTTTACTAAACCATGATATGAATTTTATTTATTTTATATGTTCATATTTCAATTATTTAATAAATCCTAAAAATTACTATATGAAGTATACAAGTATAGACTATGTCATTATTTTGGAATAATTTGATTTCATGTAGTTTTGAAAAAGTTTTGGAGATGTACAACCCAAATAAATTGAGTTTACAAATATGAAAATCAACACTATTCCAAATTAAGTGACACAACCTCTATCCACTGGCTTTCATACAGTTCTATCAAGTAAGCAAGTAGCCACATGGTACGATACTTAAACATAATAAGAAAAACGAACACAAACAGGATACTAAACATAAAAACTTACATATTTACCGACGTCCTTTAAACAGCTACAAAACAAAGTTAATAAAACATGCATGATCTTATATACAAAATCCTAATGCAATTCACTCATGAGATGCAACTAAAGATTCGGCTTCTAAGATATGACATGTGAATCATCTCAAGAATATGAGGCAGAGCACATAATCACATAGGAATTGATTAAATTCACAAATGCAAACTTAGCCGAATCAAGATGTATGAAACATAGATGCAAAGCATGGATATAACGACAAAAAATAAAATAAAAAAAACAAGATGCATATTTACAAATAAGGAAAGCAAGTAAAAGAACGGAATAGAAAGAAGGGCGGGAAATTATTACAACACTTTAAATAAATTATTACAAACCAAATTAGAGGGGGGTGAGGAGAATATTACAACAAAATAAAAATCCCACAATACACTCAAAATAAAATAAACAAAAGAAAAAAAAAAGTTTCATGTGTCTTGAAAACCACCAGAAGTTGATTAACATCGGAAGACAACGCCGTCTTGTCCAAAAGAAGCTAACCGGCCGACCTGTTAACTAGGCCTAGAAAAATCTGTCTTATTGCGAAAGCAAGAAAATGAACAAACAAGAAATATGTAGGTGGTTCAACTAACCACTATCGGTTAGATTAAAAACAACAAACAAATATAAAATAAAATAAAAAGTGCAAACTTACAACAAAACTAACATGAATCTAAAATAAGAAAACAAATATAAGGTAGAACATATAAGATTATAACAAAACTAATATGAGATTAATACAAGAAAAATATAAGTTAGGAAATGTAAGATTACAACAAAACTAACATGAACTTAAAACAAAAACAAAAAAAGCAAATATAAGGTAGAACATGCAAGATTACATCAAAACTAATATGAGACTAATACAAGAAAAATATAAGCTAGGAAATGCAAGATTACAACATAATTATTATGAAACTAAAACAAGAAAACAAATATAAGATAGAACATGTAAGATTACAACAAAACTAACATGAACCTAAAATAAAAAAAGAAGAAGCAAATATGAGGTAAAACATGCAAGACTACAACAAAACTAATATGAGACTAATAAAAGAAAAATATAAGTTAGGAAATGCAAGATTACAACACAATTACTGTGAAATTAAAACAAGAAAGCAAATATAAGGTAGAACATGCAAGATTACAGCATGAACTTAAAACAAGAAAGCAAATATGAGGTAGAACATACAAGATTACAACAAAACTAATATGAAAAGCAAGTGAATAAAAATAAATAAATAAATAAATAATTATGAGTTAAACAAACCATTTAAATTACAACAACACACTATGAAATATAAAGTAAGAAAATAAATATGAGATAAACAAACCACTTGGATTATAACAAAACACTATGAAATAAAAAGTAAGAAAATAAATATGAGATAGAAAATATAAAAAAATGAAAGACTAGAAATTTACCTTCCAAAGAAATATTGAATTTTTTGATTTCCAAACTTCCTCTTGATCACCCTCAAGTTTAGGAAGTTTGTTCTCAATCCTCAATTTGAAACTAAAATGGAACTCTGGATATATGTGGTGGAAAAGTAGCTAACTCTCTTAGTTTTTCTCACTTTTAACAACACTCACTCTTTTCTTTGATCAATCACTACTGAAATTTAGCTATTTCAGAATTTTTGGAGGAGTTTTGGGTGTAGGAAAGATGGAATTTCAATTTGTATGGAAGGTATGGGGTGTATATGGAAGAAAGAAGTATTTTTGGCTCAAAAACTCAATTTTTCTCTTTTTTTTCACCTTTGTCTTACTCTTTTCTTTTCAATTTCATGGTCCTCTCTCTCTTTCTCTTACAATATGATCATTCTATATAAGGTAATGAGGGAGAGTAAAGGTCAAAAAGAAGGTAGAAGACAAGAATGTAATAGGAGGGCAAATTTTCAAGGCAGTTGCATGGGATACTTCTTTATGAATGCAAACAAAATCTCTTTTTGACAATGGGAGATGATTAGGTATGTATTTGGTAATATATAGGTCGACCAATAGGATAGGGGAGTGTCCCACACACAAGAAAAAAAATGCAAAAAATGCACCTTTGCCTGCTGGTTTGAAATGGTCAAATATTATTTGAGGGGAAATATAGCACAAGGCAAAGCTTTGGCGGAGTGGTTAAGGTGTTGGGTGTGGAGTCTTAGGTTGGGGGTTCAAACCCTTTTACTAGCATTCCTTAAATTCATTT